TCTTTCTCATTTAAAAAAATTGAAAAAAAAATGAGTAAACAAAAAGCTGGAAAATTTCCGCAATCCTTCTATCCCAAGATTGCAGGCTCGCGGTGTGAACACCATTAGGAAACGAGGATATCCTAACCCTACATTAACTCCTAACCGTGATAATAACGTCTTTTATGAAAAAATTCAACATTTCCGCTCATGGAAGATAGAATAATTTACCAGGATTAAATCGCACGCCAAACGTCACTATGACAGTCTCAGTGATATGAAAGTATGGCAACCTCAATCTTGACGCTAAGCTCAAGCTGTTCACACTTTAAATTCAGTTCTCGTAACCAATGAATAATAAAAACGTTAGTAGCTGAGCTAGAAGTTGATTTCAGTAGTTTTCGTCGCGCGAATCGTGTTTCGCATGAAATTTTGTTGAAGAATCGTGTATCGGAGTGTTTAAATTCTTAACTTGTTGATGGCTCATCCAATCTAAACAAGCGAACATAGAAAACTTTTCTGACTTTTCTCGGAAAAAATGTTCTATAGGGAGAAACAAGGCAACGTTGGACTGCTCATAAGGCGTCGAAACACAACATGGACCTTTTAAGCTCCATTTTTCGATGCCTCGATTATCCTAACGTGAGTTCCAATAATCGCGCCGAACACGGTACGCTGCGGTAGGTGTCAAACTCATATCAGCGCCTGCAAGACTGCATGAATACTTCTCGCATTGCACCAAACGCAATGCAAGAGTTCTTCGCGATAACTACTCGACCACACGGGTATAGGCACATTGCCGCTAAACTGGATTGAAAGCGCATCACATTGTGAAGATGACATGACACTCAACTGAGCTCCCTTTCCTGGCTTGCGCGACACTAAAATCGCCACAAAATAAGGACCACGCGTCATTTCTTTTGACGGTTCCTGCCCGGTTTTTGCCACAAAAATGCAACGATTCAGCGCCTAAGACGATGTTTAAACGATGCAACGATTCTAAAACTTGATGCGTGTAAAATTAATTTTGGTTTCATAAAAAGAAAAAAGAACGAACGGAAATATCGTGTCGAAAGTCTGTGATTTTATTTAAGATCATTCCACGAATTTACCGAAAACTTCCACAAAAACTGTGTGTAGCTTTTTTTATACAAAACGGATTAAAAATAAAAAAATGAGTAGAAACTTGCAACGTTGCAATTGGAAACAAGAACACTTTCTTTCCACGTGCAGACGTCGATTTTTTATTTCATTTACGGCAGGCGTAACGAGATAACTATTCGACCATGGGTGTAGGCATATTGCCGCTAGCCAAATGGAAGGCGCGTCACACTGCAAAGATGACTCCCCCGCGTTCCCTTCCCTGGCTTGCGCGACGCTAAAGTCACTGTTAAACTAGGATTACGTGTCATCATTCTTGCCTCTCTGCTACGGTTTTTCCCATAAGTTAAAGAAAAATATGTGTCCTCATTGTAACGATTCAGAAACTCGGAAGATACTTAATTTTTTTGTTTTGTTATATAAAAAGNGCAACGATTCTAAAACTTGATACGCGTAAAATTAATTTGGGTTTTATAAAAAGAAAAAAGAACGAACGGAAATATCGCGTCGAAAGTCTGTGATTTTATTTAAAATCATTCCACGAATTTACCGAAAACTTCCACAAAAACTGTGTGTAGCTTTTTTTATACAAAACGGATTAAAAATAAAAAAATGAGTAGAAACTCGCAACGTTGCAATTGGAAACGAGAACACTTCCTTTCCACGTGCAGACGTCGATTTTTTATTTCATTTACGGCAGGCGTAACGAGATAACTATTCGACCATGGGTGTAGGCATATTGCCGCTAGCCAAATGGAAGGCGCGTCACACTGCAAAGATGACTCCCCCGCGTTCCCTTCCCTGGCTTGCGCGACGCTAAAGTCACCGTTAAACTAGGATTACGTGTCATCATTCTTGCCTCTCTGCTACGGTTTTTCCCATAAGTTAAAGAAAAATATGTGTCCTCATTGTAACGATTCAGAAACTCGGAAGATACTTAATTTTTTTGTTTTGTTATATAAAAAGAAAATAGAATGAACGAAGTTTTCGATGCTTACATTTGATATCATTTAGGAAAATTCGTGGAAAAACTGTGTGCAGCTTTTTTAAAAACGGTGTACGAAAATAAAACAGAAAAATTGTCGCACAACGTTGAAATCAGAGACTAATATGCTTTCTTTCACACGCGCACCCGTCGGCTTTTGAATTCATTCATCTCTCCAATAACTTGAGCGTGGTTGCTCTACTATTTTTTACGTGTAGCTTTTCTCAGTGGTTGGCGGCCGCGTAGCGGCCACAGGCCTCTAGTTTATTTATATTTTTGTTGGGAGGGGGGGGGAAGAAAATATAGAGATTTTTTTGAAGAATTGTTTCTCACCATTTTAGGAAAAAATTCTGCTTTTTGTGAAGGACGCGGTCAAGCGTATTTCGTTTCGGGGAAAAAACTGAAAACTTGTCAGACTTTTCTAACCCTTCGTTGGAGTCTCTGGAGAATTTGCAGAATGTCGAACGATGATTTTTCAATGCTCCTGTTCCTGAGTGATCCATTCATTTCTATTCTATCTTAGCTACAGGGTAGTTTAGTTTGAGTGCTAGCGTGGGAAAGTCTAGACTTTTAAAATTAAAAAGACAAATATTATTTTCGACTTCATCGCGGGGGTCGTGATTATCGCTGAAGATGAGCCATATCCTCGAAACCGGTCCAAAGTATTGTCACGCTGAGAAAATATATATTTATGAAAAAAGTTATGAATACTTTCTCTTGACAATGGAGATGTTGCATGTGTGAGGGATTTGCGATTTGACTGTTGATCCTTATGTAAAAGTTTGCGAGAAACACGATGGTTTTCTCTGAAATCAACTCCCAAGCTCAATAAAAGCTCTCAAAGTGAGGCCAAAATAGAGGGGACATCCCGCCCTACCCTGAGAGTCCACCTCTACATCAAAACAAACTCTCCATGCAAAGGTAGGGAGCAAATACATTAGCAGGGTTGCCGTGTTTTCAGTTTAGGAGTCCCCAAATGAAGTGGCAGCCCTGTCAATGTATTTGCTCCCTATCTTTGCATGGAGAGTTTGTTTTGATGTAGAGGTGGACTCTCCGGGTAGGGCGGGATATCCCCTCCATTTTGGCCTCACTTTAAGAGCTTTTTTTGAGCTTGGGAGATGATTTCAGAGAAAACCAGTGGCACCATCGTGTTTCTCGCGAACTTTTACATAAGAAACAACAGTCAAATCGCAAATCCCTCACACATGCAACATCTCCATTCCAGATCTTTTCGATAAAATTTCGGAGAAAATCCGCCGAGAAATCGGAGGAGAAATATTCGCAAATCCTGAAATTCGTCGTTTTTCGGAGAAAGTTCGGCAGTGCCTGATGGCTCATACGGCGTTCTTCCTTACCACGGCAGCGGGCTGATTATTGAAATTGATAGACAAAGCGAGACAAAGCGAGACAAAGCGAGACAAAGCGATAGACAAAGAAGACACAAAAGATATGGAGGGATCCAATTGATGGAAGCGGGTGGTTGCAATGGACAAAGGACAGACTCCAACGGCAACCCACGAGAGACCGGATAGTTAGTCCATCATTTACCCCCTTAGTCTATAAGAAACACCCATTTCGACCAATAGGATCGCTCTGAACTCCTCATGTCCTCTTTGTCTACAGCTTTGTCTATAAAATTCAATAATGAGCCCGGAGGACGGAGTATGGAGTTGGGAGGTGATTGCTTCGGATGACAACGGTTACGCGAGGCGGCCGCGGCGCGCAACAACTGAGCAGTGCTGTACGCAGTCCACGTAAGAATTTAGCGGTGTTCCACTCGGAGCCGTAGGGACAGAACTGCCTTATTACGGAAGAGACACGTACGAGCATATCTCAGTGAGCCACGGTTAGGACATGCTCTTACGCGTCTCGCGGCTTATGGCCAGAATGCAGTTGCGGTTTTTTTTGTTCCGTAAGGCGGCGAAGAAGGACGGAGGAGAGGACGGATGCGGAATCCGAGTCCTGTCTCTTGTTGGCGTGATGGTGATGCTCCCATCCCATCCCATCACAGCTTTTCTTCTTCCGAATCCAATTGCCGGTCGTCGTCGTCGTCTTGGACGTCCTTCGCTCGCTTTTCTCGCGCTGGGCATTCGCTCTAGTTGAAAATAACCGCGGGCATTGAGCAGCCGACTCGCTCCTCTTCCATTTCATCGTGCCGTTCGAGTCGCTACGTCAGGCTTTCACGCACTCCGTCATCTTACGCAGTGTTCCAAACTCACAGGCGCTAACGCGCCGAATGCGCCTAAGAAATGGGTCATGCCGCCTAAAAAATGAGGGCTCTGCGCCAACGTGGCCCCTAAGAAATTAGCCAGGGTGTCTACTAAAACAGGCTGGCCAAAAATCAGTACTTTTACAGTACTTTTTCAGTGCATTCCCAGGAAATTAAAGTACCTCCTCAACAGAAAAATTCAGTACTTTTCCAGTACCTCCAATTGACGAAATTTGAAAAATTGCAAAAATTTGAATTTCTCGCTCAAATTGCGACAAAAATGACAAAAAATGGCAGATTCCGGACCTTCTTACGGACTTTCCGCACGTTTACAATACTTCCGGACCGCCCTTAAAAAATCAGTACTATTTCCGGAATTTCCGTACTTGTAGACACCCTGATTACCCTCCCCCCCCCAAAAAAAAAAACTCTAATTTTTCTGTATGCATGGTGATTTTTTTCGAAATTTCCTCGAAGTTACAGCTACTAGTTCTGTAACTAAAACTAGCTGTCTCTGTGACTTGCGTCTAACTTTTCACTAAATGCGCTGTGATATAAGCGAAAAAAGAATTTGGCCCTTAAAAAATCTTCAATGGCCCCTAAAAATCGAGCTTGATGCGCCACATGGCTCCTGAAACTCAAAGGTGAGTTTCGAACACTGTTTGACGACAATATTTTGTAAAAGTTTCATACAAATCTGAGATGAAAATAAGTTTTCAAGCTTACCCTTAAATGTAAAGCATGTTGAATAAATCCACGACTGGTTCAAACATCCAACTGAAAATAAAGAAAGAACAAATGAGCATGCTAAGAATGATAGCTTATATTTATAAGAAACAAGCAAGGTGCTTTATTCTACTTGAGAATGAGTAAGAAAGTGTATGAAACAAAATTATTTGCCCTCCAGAACTCCAAATTTCCGGGAATGTTTGCTCTCGAAACTTCAATCGGGACACAATAAGGGTGCAGCCATGCTCTTAGTAAAGACACTTATCAAGGTGTACTGCAGCCCTCGTGATAGAGAGAATCACTATCATCTTGACACACGGAAAAGGCACTTCCTTACGTATCTTAAATGCCAATCTGGGGCACACCGAAGGTTTTTCCCATTGTTTTGACTTGGGTTGCAACAATGGAGATGTTGCATGTGTGAGGAATTTGCAATTCGACTATTGAATCTTATTTAAAAGTTCGCAAGAAACACGACAATGCCACTGGTTTTCCCTGAAATCAACTCCCAAGCTCAAAAACGCTCTTAAAGTTGAGGGCGTAAGAATTTGCCATTACACTATTGATTCTTATGTGAAAGTTCGCGAGAAACACGATAGTCCCTCTGGTCTTCCCTCAAATCAACTCCCAAGCTCAAAAAAAGCTCTCAAAGTTGAAGGCGTAACGGAGGGGATATCCCACACTATCCTGAGAGTCCACCTCTACATCAAAACGAACTCTCCATGTAAAGATAGGGAGCAAATATACATTGACTTTATTTGGGAACTCTAAAACTGAAAACACGGCAACCCAACCCGCAACCGTGCTAATGTATTTGCTCCCTGTCTTAGCATAGAGAGTTTGTCTTGATGTAGACGTGGACTCTCAGGGTAGGGCGGGATATCCCCTCCATTACAGCCTCAACTTTGAGAGCGTGTTCTGAGCTTGGGAGTTGATTTCAGGGAAAATGAGTGGCATAATCGTGTTTAATTGTCGCGAACTTTTACTTGAGAATCAATAGTCAAATTGCAAATTCCTCAAACATGTAACATCTCCATTTTCAAAACGCCAACGATACCACGTGATCCAGCTTTTTGCCTGAATGCCAACGTTCTGACTTGCCTCATAGAGGAATTACTGATTTTACAAATAAAGGAGCGATTTGTCTTACTTTCTTTTCACGGTGATCGGCCAACAACAACAAAAAAAAAGGACAGTCACTTTTAAAAATTGCCTCAAGTTTGCCGCAATGAAGCTCTTGCTAGCATTTAAGATTTGCGATTGAAGTACTTAACAATTACACGTAAGTAAAATTTGGCGAGAAACGCGATAAAGCAGTTGGTTTTCTCTGAAAGAAACTGCCAAACTCAGAAAAAGGCCTTTTGCACTTCATATCGGACATAACAGTAATAAGTTCATCATGCGTCGGCATGCTCCATGCTCCATGCTTTGCGTGATCACGTTTTAGACCTAGGCCAAACTCAATTCAAGCTTAAAGATTAGCAGGAAAGGGTCTTGATTATACTAAAGATAGCACTGCAAGGGTGCAAAATGATCACGAATCAAAGACCGCAAATGTTCGCGAACTGCGTGGGTAGTGGGGAAATTGCGTGGGCTACGACCTTGAATAATGGATGGTATAAAATTTGCTACGATTAGATCAAAATGCGCTCCATTTGTGCGCACACCTTGCGAAGTTAAGTACGCGCGCTGCCCTACGCATTTTCAAAACATGTACATGCATCTCGGAACTTATTGTTAGCGCAACTCAAGAGTCTGAAGCCGAGAACAAGGCAAGAGATCTGCCGTGCTAAGGAAAAACGCCATATGAATCTTCAGACGTTGCCAAATTTCCTTTGGTAAATCAAGAATTTCCTGGTAAACTTGTGAATATTTTCCTTTCAATTTTTCAGATAATTTCGTTCGCAATTTCACACGAAGTTCCTGAAAATTTTAAGGGACAACATTCATAATGTTCCGCAAAAATAAACATTTTATCGAAGGAAATTAGACAACTCTTGAATGTTCATACGGCGTTCTTCCTTAGAACGGCAGAGATGGGGTCCGCCGCCGCCGCCGCAAGCTCGGAAAAACGGCGCCGGCGCTATTATATGCCTGAAGTATACCTATACAGTTTTGCAGACGCTTCCCGCGATTGTTTTTCGCGCCAAGTTCGAAGTTCCGGAAATTTTCTCCCGGAGGACGAGGTCCCTTTTCACAGATCCAGTCACGGTTATAAATAAGCAACAAAATTTTAGCGCATCTCCACAACAATGAAAAAGAGCTCGGTCTCTTTTCCGTTGACTCAGAGATTTTAACGCAGGAGTAGAAAAGTTGAATGCGACAAAACGCGTGATACGACTACTTATTTTGACTTGGAAGTAGGTAAAAATGCATATCCACGAAATGAAGGAGAACGTGGACTCTTTTCGGCCCAATCGGAGACTTTGACGCAGGGTAGAAAAGTTGGATGGGGCGAGACACGTGATACAGTTATTTTGACCTGGAAGTAAGTAGGTAAAATTGCATATCCACGAAATGAAGAAGAACATGAACTCTTTTCGGCCCAATCGGAGACTTTGACGCAGGGTAGAAAAGTTGGATGGGGCGAAAAACGTGCAACAAATATCATGACTTACAATGAGGATAAAATTGCGTTTTCGCAAAATTAGCAGAACACGATGTTTCGTATCATCCCAACTATTCCATTCATCAAACCCAACTTGTAGTTCGTGTTGCCCAACTTAAAAGGTTAAAAGAACTAATGAAAAGGAGTTCGGGGTGACCGCCCGATTCCCCTCAAGACTCCCAATTTTTAGTCCGCGCATGGGTTCCCCCATTTTTCTCGTCCTCACATGGGTTCCCGTTCCTCCATTTCACGCGAACGCCCGGTCGCGTGGTTGGGAAGTTTCTGCACCCCTCCAGGATTACCACTTTTATGATCGGTCTCTAGTGGCCCCACAAAAATTATGTTAAAAAAGAAGGAGAAAAAAAAGAGAAAAAACAAAACTTGTAGGGGGAGGTTGCCGGTGCCACTCCCTATCTGGCAAAATTTCTCCTCTCTAGAGAGTATACTCTCTCCCTCCGAGTGTCAGAATTCGTGCAGCCCCCCTTTGGATTCTTTTTAACTTTCGTTCAATTCTGGGAGATTTTTTAGATAAGTATGAAGAAGCTTCTTCTACTAGCCTACCACGCACTAGTAGAGTCTCATATAAATTATTGTATCAATACTTGGTCATGTGCGAGTAATAAACAGATAGAGAAAATCTTTATTCTCCAAAAAAAAATCAATCAGAACCATTCTGAAACTGAAGCACGACACATCATGCCGAGAACACTTCATAAAAAATGAGATATTAACATTACCAGCCAAAATAATTATGAATCACCTAAAATTACAGGCTAAAAGGCTGAAGGGAGATAAGGCAGAGACACATGGGTAAGGCACAAGATATCACCAACTAAGCATTACATCAAAGAACGACGCATACCTCACAAAGGCATGAAAATTCTTTAATAGATTGCCAAATATCATACAGGAAAGCATATATAAACCAACATTCTGTAGGCTGGCCTCAAGACATTTAATAGCAAAATGCCCTTACTCAGTCAATGAATTTTTGAACGTCAATGAATGAATAATTACCTTAAGACGAATTGTATGCAAATATGTTTATATAAGTATCTTTATTTAGAAAATGACGTTTTTGTGAAGCCAAATGTGCAAAAAGCAAAAGAATAAATAAACAAAAAAACAAAACAAAAAACAAGCAACATTTTTACGATACTGTAATACTGCTGGTTCCTTTTTGCTAAGTATGCTTTCAGTTTTGCAGTATTTAGTTATATGTGTGGATCGATCAAACAATTCTGCAGTTAGCTAGAAGTAATCAAATTGCATTCTGTAAAAAGAAAATAACTTTCCCAGGCTCATTTGGAAAACGACGCACGTGTCATTGATTAACCTAAATAGATGGCGGCTTTTGCAGATGAGCCAGGAAAATTACTCCTGTTTAGAATGAAGCAACTTAACAGTGAGCATCACAAATTGCCTTTTGAGTGGTCTCTAAAAACCGTGCTTTCACACAAGTCGGTGCAAAGTAAGCTAAGAATTCTTGTTCAACTTGTTCATTACAGCGCGTGGAACGAAGAATGAAAGGAACCCCCTTCCTCGTGGAAAAGGGGGTCGTAGGATTGGGAGCGGGATCGCGGATTAAGATTTCTCCCGGGGAGAGGGGGGTCCGTGGGGTTACATAGAATCGTGGGGTAGGATTTACAAGCGAGGAGAGTCTGCAGAGTAGGATTTTTTTTTCTCCCCCTGCAATCCTTTGGGGCGTTTCGTCCTGAGGTCTGCCGTTGCCAGCAAGGGTGCTCGTCTGGACCCGTTGGGTCCGTTGGACGTCCCTTTCACCAACGCCCCGCGAGGGAGGTCTCTTTGCTCCCCCGCAAGGAAGGGCTTTTGACCCTCCGGGAGTCGGCGGCGAGGACGCTCAACAGACCCTCATGGGGTCCCGGTCAGATTCCCGAGATCATCAGATTTTGTTTTCTTTTTTTTCTGCTTTCTGTTTCATGTTCTGCTGATGCTCTGTCACCGGACGCCTGTTACTGCATGAGGGTAAGGCTTTGTCAAAGTTATGGATATCTTTCCCCTCTTTACTTCTAAATGTAGAAAGGTGTGGTATGAATGGGTGCATTTACTGTGGGGGCTTTACTTCCGTCTCCGGAGAGCACAGCTGTATTTCACCTATTCTTCTTTTATTTACTTCCTTTCTGAGGGTTAGGGCTCTTGGAGATACCACTTTTAAAAAATCGCGCTGAAAACTCTACCTCCAGGAGTAGCACTGTCTATTCTATATGATTGGTCTCTTCTAGGGTGGTGTAGAAGCGAGCTTGACAGAGCATTCTTCGGAAGAGATTGAGACCTTGAGAAATTTTTTCCAATGAAATAGAAATATTCTGGAGTACTAATGGTGAATTTCACAATTTAAGCCAGTGTCTTGGAATATTCCAAAGAAAAATATACAAAACTACCTTCCACAAAAATGGAGAAAAATTGGAAACTTTTGATTGCATGCACCTGCGGCGTTTCTCCTTAGCACAGAAATTCCTACACTAATAGGGGGGATAGCAATACAGGGTCTCCAAAATATGCTGTCTATGGTGAAACTGCAACAATTATGTACTTCCACACAAAATTTTGGTTTAGAGCATTGGAAAAAGAAAACAATGAACAAATGTCACATTGATCATGTAAGTATTGGCCCATTGAATGACACATCAATTTAAATTGTAAGGTGCTACCTAATCTCTGATGTTACGTTTGTTCAATCTTATCTTTCCCATGTTCTAAAAGTCACTTATGAGTTGACTCACCATAATGACAGAGTGATTTGAGAGAAAGAATATTTGAAAATGTAGCTCTCTTACCTGAAACAGAAAAAGAGACAAAAAACATTAAGAAAAGTTTTGGGAGAATAAGAAGAATGAGAGGTGTCAATCAGAAGTAAGTAGCAATCTTTTTCAGAAGTGGAAAATTACAGAACATTTCAAGCAAGCTGAATGTCTGATGTAATTTCAGAACTGCTAGACTGGTGTGCATGCTTGAAGTGGAGGACTTTTGATTGAGATGCAGTGCGAGTACCCAGGCTGTTCCAGTGTAGGATCCAACTTCCTTGATAAGAGTTACTGTAACCCTCCCGATTAACAATACCTTCTCCGGCAGAACAGCAACAAGCACATATTCGAATTTTCGAGTTGCTGAGGTAGAATTTTAACCGTTCAATAAAAACTGGGAAAACTCAAAATAAAATTCTAAGGAAGCAGTGTAAGGTGTGAGGTTTCACCGATCATTGTCCAGTTCCATTATCAGCCCTTCGTGGGAAGCAAAGTGCTAACAGTCTAACAGTAGTGACAGTGAGATATAGGTCAAACTTTAGTCCGGACATAGTCAAGCAAAAGCTCCTAAAAACCAGAAAAAGAACGGAAACTGGATTGCCATGGTCTAATAAACAGAAGATTAGGTTCTTCCCTCAGATCTTACCTAATGAGCTCCAGACACGGCGATCGGAAAGGAATTCCACTAAACCTAATAATAGGCGCACGGACACGAATGATAAAACACGTACATCTGTGAATTCTACTTGATTGGAACGGAAAGGAACTTGCAAAAAGACACGGGAAAATACGAAAATTTAGCAAAGTAATTGACGATTCTTCATTACAAGTGGATGCAGTTCCCAGTTTTGGCAGTGAAACTTCTTCTTCTTCAATTGTAAAGTCAGACCTATAACACGGCAGACGATAGATATAAAAGGTTACTAAAGTTGAAACGTCATCAAGAAGGAAGGATTACGTCACGCTGTATTTAAAGTTAATTGTTTACGTTTTCTCATGCCGTGCATGCCGTGAGCCGTGTCGTGTCTCAGTTTGAAGTTTTGAAGAAATTGTTGCTGAATTTGGTCAAGATTTAAGCCCGTATGTAATCTACTATGTTCTCGCAATTTAATTCACTTTATCTCAGCTTGAAACAAATGAGAGCTTGTGCAATGAATTGTGACTGCAAAGACGTCCGATTCTCTGTATCATCAAATCAGAACCGACATTCAACTTTCATGGGAAGAACCGATAGACATTAGTCTATTGAGAAGGAGAGTTTCCAAGATGAAAGCTTCCACCCAGCTAGCCAGGTTGGCCTAGTGGTCAGCAGGTCTGACTCTAGGTCAATAGGTGCTGGGTTCGGATCCCGGTGGTGGCGTCTAATATTACAAAATTGACGAGTAGATCTGCCGAAACAGATTCTCCTTGGCCCTAGTCCCTGAAAATTGGAAAAGCCTGGAGCATGGAGATCCCATGATGTCTATGGACACTAAACATCGTCTAAAGTTGGCTGATAGTGCTAGACACAAAGCCATTAAACCAGCAGAAAAAAAAAAAAAAAAAAAAGCTTCCACAAGCTCGCAAGCATCCGCCACTTTTACCGTGTCAAAATGACAGGATGATGTTTTGTCAATTAACGCATGTGAACTTTCTGTGGAAAATTTGTGTTTCAACAGTCAAGATTTCCGGGGGATAAACAGTGCTCTGCACACACCACACCCTTATTTTTCTCGTCAGATGACAGTAATTGTAGCGAATCCTACTCTAATTTTGCAGGTAAAACGGAAAACAAATTCTCTTGCCTGAAAGATCAAGTCCTTATTGTATCTGCTTACCAAGCTCTCTCATACTTGCCAAATTCAGTTGTTATGGCATAATTAACAACTTGTTAAAGACCCCTTTACTTTACTCTTGGTGTACTGTATTTCTATGTCGTTGATTTCTTACCTCTTCTCTTTCAGATTTTCTCCTCTTTAGATTATCTTCTCATCATGGAAAGCATCGGTGTAGCATCAGTGTTTGACCCTCAGCACAACAGTCGCTTCATCAGAACCTTCCACGATTACTTCAACAACCAGACTTTGGCCGATGTGTGCTTCATTTGTAAAGATGGGCAAAAAGTGAGAGCTCATCAAATGGTTCTTGGTGCTGTCAGCAAACTTTTGAAGAAGGTATATCATTAACGTTCTAGTATACAATACTTAAGAGAGCCGGCTGCGGCAAAATTCAAACAAAACAACATCCATAAGTCTTCTGCTTTACGCAAGATTTTAAGTTTCCTTCTTTGTGCCCACAGGACACAGGACCACCAAACATACAAAGTAATGGACAGAACAATTTGAGGGATTCTGTAGTGGGGAGCAAAAGAAGAGGAAGCGAGGACTTAATTTTAGTAAAGATAAAGTGAGATGTGTAAAGAGATTGAGTAAACAAGGCGACGTTGCCCAGAGAAACGTACTGAGAGAGTGCTGAAGAGAGATACAAGCTGGTATTTAAGGAGAGATGCCATTTTTTTTATTAAATTCAAATGGAAAGAATCAGTTGTATCAATCTGGTTTTTTGGTCCGATAGTTTTTTGGAGAATCTCCACTCCAAGAATCCTTTTGACTAAATAATGGCCTTTTGAAATTTCTTTTGCTCTGCAGACCCATAAAATTTGCTTGGAGCTTGAAAGTCTGAAAGATAATTAATCAATTTCCACAGAGACAGAAATTTTTTTGTTAACTTGGAATAATCGTGGTCGTCCACAGAAAAGGTGACCGTAGTGCAAAAAATCTGCTAAATCTGGTTTTTCGACCCCTCAATTGAAATCACTCTATTGAAAATTCTACCTTCATAGACTAAGAGCCCTTTTTCGATGAACGATCATATTTCTGAAATTAGAACTTGGATGGACTGCTCATTCAATCTGGAAAAAAACTAAATTGAAAAAGATTTCTTGTTCTATGGACGATCATATTTCTAAAATTTGAACCTTGGTGAACTGCTCGTTCAATCTGGAAAAAAACTAAATTGAAAAAGATTTCTTGTTCTATGGACGATCATATTTCTGAAATTTGAACCTGGGTGGACTATTCATTCGATCTGGAAAAAACACTAAATTTGAAAAAGCAAACTGCAAGTGAGCTTACTGTTGCAGCTAAATTGATTTTTTTTTGTATTTTTACAGCTTTTATTAGAATTTGCTGGAACCATGGAAGAAATTGTCATACATTTACCAGATGTTCCTTCATCATCCTTGAAGCAAGTCTTGTATCTTCTGTACGAAGGCAACACGCATTTGGTTGGTGAAGAAGAATATAAAGAATTCAACTCTCTTCTTAGACTTCTCGGCATCGAACCGGATAATTCGAATACTTCATCGGTTAGTCAAAAGTTTGTAATTCATTTTCATGTTTCAACAATATAAAACAGTAGTGCCAAGTACTTACATGAGATGAACGGGCCGCAAGAAGAATTTAATTTTTCAAGAGTTCCAGTGGGACCACCTCCAATGTCCCAGTTACTCATTTGAATAGGGCTGTTTCACAAGTCTTGTTTTGGTTCATTTTTGGAAATTGTATAAAAAACAAGAATGTCTGCATTTCCTGTTTTATTTCATACTGATATAACTTTTTAGCAGAGAAAACAATTTCAGAGCTGCCAAAATTCTAACCAAGTCCCAAATGGAAAAATATCCCGCCAACAGATTAGTAGCAACAAAGTAGCACAAGCACCCCTTACGCTTGTACGCTATGTTGCCGGACACTCAACATTTTTTTCAATATTTTCCTTAAAACTTCAGCACATACTATCATGAACATTTCTGGGATTAATTTTGATGACAAAAAAAAATATTAGATAAAATTTTCAAGTAACTCTGTTCATTAGTTTTTCTGGGCAAAAATTGGACTAGTTTAAGAAGTTTGGTAACATAATGCCTAAGCACAAATGGAGCTTGTCATATTTTGGCCTGAAGGTGACAATGTGTAGGTCTTAAGGGTAGGTTTTGCAGCAATAAATTTTGAATGTTTCAGAGGCAAGAGCTTGGAGGCAATAAGCAGCCACACTTAAATCCGTCAATGGATGAATCGAGAGTGAATTCTCAATTCTCCTCACCACAGCATCCCGCGAATGTTATCGGTAATCATTACTTAATTTTTCTCTTTTTCTTCTTTTTCTACTCGGTTTCTTGGCTAGCTATCTCTAAATGTTGGGACCTATAGACAACTTTTGAAGGAAAAGGTCTGTTTTAGCATAAGTACCACCACTGCATCATTAGTTGGACTACATTTTGCAACTAGGAATTTCTGGCTCATTGTCAGTTTAAAAACGTTTGTATCATTAGTTTGCCCATGCACGCAAATGTCCTTATGCATGAGCCAGAAATTTTAGTTCCTAATTGCAAAATACAGTTCAGTTGTTCTAAATGAAGTGAAATCACTGTGACACTGTGTCTTCTTGAGTGGGAACAGTTTATTTCAACTCGATATCCCCATCTAAAGTCAAATATTTAGTATTTCATGTTGTAATGTGCATGAAAACTTTCATTTACACGTTTTCTTCATGAAACAGGATATTAACTTAATTACTGATGAGTGCTTAAAAGTGCAAAAACTTTCTAAAATCTCAATATAAGGGATATTTTAGGCCTGACAGAACGAATACGTATGCACATTGTACCCCTTCATTCCCGAAAATTAGAGATAAATGAATGAGGGATTCAAATCAATATAAGCGAGTATTTCATAGCGCTTAGGCACTTGAGTCTTTTTAAAATGATTATACTCTCTAGATGATTTTTAGGCCTCAAAAATCCATCTTACTGCTTGTCACTTGATTGTAGATTCATCTATGCCTAAGCAATACTGAGCCACCGGAAGACTCACTTTCCGATTTTTAGGGGACTAAGTCTTTTGGAAACTAACCAATTATGCTTATAATAATAATAATTTATTTATTGTAGATTTGTCACAAAACAAATTATACAAAGTCAAGGCAAAGAAAGTACAAAACAAATAATACAATACAAATACAATACAAAGTCCAGGTAGAGAGGGCACATGGTAACAGATACTAGGCCCACCCTAAAGGGGACTTAAAAGTCTATTAGTTATCTTTCTAGATACTCCTCTATTGAGTAAAAAACATTTGATTTACAGAACTCTGTCACCATTTTTTTAAACAATTTTGGATTCTGTGTTTTCTTTATATTCTCCGGGAGCTTGTTATAAATTTAGGTACAGTTACATTTCGGACCTTTTGTGCCAAGTCCTTTGGGATTTTCAGTTCGTTTAATGTCATCTCCCTTGTATTGCTTGCGCAATACTGAGCCACCGGAAGACTCACTTTCCGATTTTTAGGGGACTAAAACTTTTGGAAACTGACGGATTCAATCGTGACTTACTAGGGCTCTGCGAATATTTGACGTTAGTGAAAATTCGTGCAGTCGCGAATAACAAATTTTCGGACTGACATTTCCGACTTTTTGCACTGCCACGAAAAGCGACTTTGCCTGAAAAGCATCTGGTAATCCTTAGATACCTTCTTGACTGTCTGCCCAGGTAACTTTAAATCCTGGGAATGCATACATAACTGCAGGGACAGTCGAGCCAGAACCAGGGATCCTCAAACGCAGTCTTAACAGCCTAAGCTGCCATCGGAGCATTCCATTGTTTTCTGTGCAGATGTAACAGCAAATGGAAAATTTTTAAAAAATTAATCATTTATTCGTCGACTTTGGTAATATTTGCGAATTTTTGCACTTTAAAGAGTTATTTTAAATAATTTGCCTTATTATACATAGTTGGACTGCATTTTGCAATTTTGAACCATAAATTCTGGCTCCCCTGGAAAAACACTTATGTGCATATGGAAACTAATGGCACGTACGTTGTTTTTAAACCGGGCTAGAATTTATAGCTCCAAATTTGCAAAATGTAGTCCAGTTGTGAATAATAGACTTAAATTATTCATATTACTTTTCATAGTTGCAAATAATTGGCAAAATTATTTGCTAATTGCTCCGTTTGAAAAATTAACTATTTGCATAGCCCTAGTGCTTACACTACATATCGACGGTGAAAGTCGGCAATCACATAATTCGTTTGCTGTGTCTGAAAATCTCCGTCTCTAACGTCATTTTTTTAAAGGAGAACAAATTGATATTATTTTTTGAAGTTTTTGCAGAATTTTCTTCGCATTGAGAAGAAAAATCATGACAGTTTTAAAGAATTGCCGTTGAGTAGTTTTCCATTTAAAAAATAAAGTATGACAGGAAGTCTGCGACGTCGCAAACCGAGTTATGTGATTGCCGACTTTCACCGTCGATATGTATAAATTCAGCGGCAAAATTCCCCTGTGAGGGATATGGCAAAATACTCCCATAATTCTCATCCATTAGCATGTTCATAATCTTTCAGATCATTATCCTAATATGAATCAGTCAACACCAAGCGGTCCCCCCATTCAACAACAAATGCCGCCTCAAGGAAACGTAAATCTGCCTGGACCAATGATTGATCACACACACTCAAACCCAGGTGAGAAAGACATCATAAATTCTCTTCCAAGTTCTTTTCGAACCTGCGGGCTAATGTTTGAAGTTGATAGACAAAGCTATAAACAAAGAAGACAAAAAGGATATGGAGGGATCTTATTGGTGGAAGCAGGTAGTTGTGATGAACAAAGGAGGTAGGTAATAGACTAGCTAGTGGCAACTCACGAGAGACCGCTTAGTTGGTCCATCATTAACCCCCTTAGTCTCTAAGAACCACCCATTTCAACCAACAGGATCGTTCCATACTCTCTATATTTTCTCTGTCTATCAATTTCAACAATCAGCCTGCTGCCTCTATAGCTTTATCAAAGAGATCAACATTAAAATAACCAATATCAATTGGAGTTGTCCAAACGCATGGCTTTTCAGCCCAGGTGCACTTGGATCTGTTCATAACAGTATATCCTTATCATTGGACTCAACGAAAAATGAATTTTAAGCCTCTTGGCCCATCATCAAATCTGCACAGCCATCTAGTTTTCTATGTCTTTACTCTCCGAAAAACTCTAGACATATTTTCTAATTTACCAGGGGGTGCAGCTCCTTAGCCAGCCATGGCGGACGCGCAGAGCGCGTCCAGAACGGCTAGTATTTCCCAATTTATGTTTGTGGTAGGCGCATTTCCTGTAGTTCCAAATGGTGGCTTATGCTTGAAGAGGATAATTGCTCGCAATGAGTTTCCTCCTGCTGCGGTGAGAATTCTTTGCTCTAAATGAAATCCTTGCTTAACAGAACCCTTCTAGGAAAAATGGACTTTCAAAAGTTAGGGTACTGATAGAGCTGAGTTTGAAAACACGCAGCAAAGATTGATCAAAAGTCTCTTGTTGTCCTCTCTGAGTGCCTCCAATTTCATTGATTTTTCGATTAATTGATATTCTGTTGATTATTCCTCCATAGGTGGCAGAATATTCAAATCTAATAAAAGGAAACAAACAGAAGACCCAAATCCAGGTGGAGCAAAATCTCAAAATATCAAAACTGAACCTCCAAGCAACGATATTCAAAATGCCCCTCAAATATCAACATCTCACACAGGCCCTCATCCAAAGACAAATCAAATTACAGATAACAAAAGTTCTGTCTCCAATAAAATGTCCGACTCGAGAAATGTGAGAGGTAGAGGCAGACCTCGAGGTAGTGGAAGTTCCAGTACAAGAAAGCAGACCTCCTCAGTTTCTCATAGAGGAAATAGAGGGAGTCAACCAGCAAGTTCCGACTGCGTCGTTGTTGATGATTGATAATTTTATCTTTTTTAGAAAATTTTTAATTCCTATTTTTCATATTTTTCTGCTCTTAGGTTAAGTATATTCTGATTGACAATGAATGGGACAAAAGCATTAAATTTAGATACAAACGAGTTTCCAAAAAGGAAGTTTAGATGCTCTAACCACAAGCCCAGTAGCTTGGACTGAAAAATTTAAAAAACTCGTTAACTTCATAGAGGAAATATTCTTGAAAACTTGTTCAAAAACGATTCAAGTAAATTAATTAGAAAACTCTTTTTGGCTTTTATTAAATTTATGAATGCTTCAGTTTCACAAGATTTTTTTTTTCATCACTTACTCAATTGTTAAATCTGACAAAAATATTTAGTTCTATACTTAGACTCGCTGCAATTCACTCTATGTCTCTCATCATCTTGCGTTTAAAAATGTATAGAATTTGACAACGATTTTGTTGTTAATTTTTTTTAATTCTCATCAATTTACTCTTTTTTAAATTTTACGTAGATCTGCGAAAAATCCAGGAAAGGTTTCCTAATTCATACCGTGTAACATTTTGGTTTTGTTTTTTAAAGTCCAAAGGAAACAGTTAAAGCTACAAGGGAATTACTTTGTTGCCCCCCACTGCATGTTGATGTCTCAAGATTGCTGTGTCTCAAGACGTATATGGCCATTTTACTCCCTCTTGTAAACCATTGCATAAGTTTTCTTAACAAGTGAGTTAAGCTTCTCCAAAATTCCTTAAAAATAGATGAAGCAAAGTAGTTATTGAAAAAAATTTTACAATGGTTCTGTGAGGAAATACTGTAATGTTTGTGAGAATTCAGAGACTTTACAATGTTGACCTGGTGTCAAAGTTGATCTGTAAAGTTGCAAATATTTTCTTTTCTTTTCTTTTCTTTTAAGTTCAAACCAGTATGTTTTCTCCTCGACAATTCCACTGCAGCATTCAGCTGGACTACATTTTGCAATTAGGAACTTCAATTTCTGGCGCAGTTAAGAAACAACGTATGTACCATTAGGTTCCCTATTCACACAAGTTGTTTTACAGATGAGCCAGAAACTGTAGTTCTGCAATGCAAGATATAGTTCAGTTGGAGTATCTCCTCTAATGTCCCAAAAGTCAATCAGGGAGGAGAAATTATCCAGTAAAACATTATTTTTGATTATCAGATGTCTTCATGAATATGCTGTTCACTGGTCTTTTTTCATGAATAACTAGGTATAATTTGTGATGATTTTTATTTGTAATTGCCAAGAATGCATAATTACGTTGTTCTTAGTATTAAAAAACTTTGGCATTCTTAATAATACTAAATGCAGTCACATTATTTGGTGGGAAAAGTACATTAATAACAAAAATCTCAATGTTGAGAGGCTTGTCCTTTCTGATTTATTTGGCGCTCGAAGCCTGTGCTAAAGGATGGTAATGTGAATAATAGCATTCCACCAACAGAGTAAAGAATTTCCACTCTTATGTAGCATTACCTTGTTGGAACAAGGATATTTATGTTAGAGAAATCCATAACACAAAACTTATTTACTAATGATTTTAATAGTTAAAAAATGTTATCTCAGAAATTGCCTCTCGTGTTTAGAACTGCCATGTAACCAGTGTCATGATTGAAATAACCCATATAATCAACAGGGAAAGACGTAGGCAAGTAACATCTTATAGTGTCCAAATAATGTAAGCTTTTAAATTCACTTGATCAGAGAACTGAGGGAAATCATTCGTGATTGTTCTGCTGAAGATTTCAAGCTAATGACTAACTTGTCATCAAAAACTTAGCAAAAATCAGTTGTACGATGCCGCCCAATGAATTCCCAACTTGCATAATTTAAACAATGCCTGCTCAAATCTTTTGTGGACAAGAGTCGCATATCAAGGGCTAAGGAACAATACGGCTTAACTGAAAATTTTGGCAAAAATGAATTCACAACTTTGCTGCATTCCAAAGTTTAAAATGCGCAAGCTGATTTTTTAGATCTTTTTAATTTCCGCATGGGAGCGCTGCATGATGTTTTAAAAAAACTCAAGCGCAAACTTAAAGTTGATAACAAGGCCAAGTTTTTTCTTCGTTCCATAAAATCGACAGTTTGCAATTAGACGGTATTGTTCCTTAGCCATCGCTACGTTAGTTTGAAGGTTGATATCTGAACTCTGAAAGTCAGAGACAGGTTATAATGTGACCTTTCGAAACGTATTGTTGGATTTTAGGTAGCAGTAATATTTGTTTCTGAAAAAATGGAAATTTCACTGAATCCATGATTTTTATGGAAAAAAAGCCTTAGAGCCAATATATTTTTCCGGGAGCTCAAGAAACACATTTCAATTTTTGATTGTGAAGGTAATATTTTTATATTGTGATCCAAGAGGTACATTCACTTATCTCATGACTTTCCTTCAATGGAGTCATGCAGTTGTAGTTAGTGTTTTTGTCATGCCTCAAATGTAAACAAACACATAACCTTTTTTCTCATTTGCGCCATAATGACAAAAGGCGTCCAAGTGTTTCTTACAATGGAAATTTCTTGTTTTTAATGAGTCCTTAATGGATTCATGACCAGTCAGTGACTAAATTTCAATAAATTAAACCATTAACTCACGAAGAATTTGTACATAAGGCTATGTTAGTTTCTTTTGGTTTGAACCAAGAGTTTGATATTATGTCGAGCGATGAGGTTACTAAATCAGTCGACGAGGATTTCTTCTTTTGAAACATAATGTAACTCCATTAAATACTTGCAATTCAAATGTTTTTTTTTCTTTTCTTTCAATCGTTGGATTTAAGATTTTTTCAATTGACACAAAAACAAGAAATCCATTATTCAAATATAAGAGCACTTCAAAGAGTATTAAAGTTATTTGCAACTCCTCAAACATGAGAAATTGAATTCGGTACGGTTAATTTTAAGTATGGAAATGACTGACTCAATAACTTTAGTTACTTAGCATCTTGTTACCAATTAGAAAATTGAAAAAATATATTTTTACGAATTTTATAAATATTGTGTTCAAGTACAACTGTCTACTCATTGTTTGCGTCGCATCAGGCATTTTGTCAAATACCTAGGCAAATGGTCAAATATTCTAACTTGGATTGAAATTCTGATTCTTTTCCTAGTTTCCGACAAAATAATTAATTGCTCCTGCAAGAAAAAATTCTCAGTAAAAATTTGCACACACAATTGTTTTTTTGAACAATTTTTAGCTCCTGATGGGAAACTGATCTTGAAAATTTTAGCATGTCGTAAAATACAGAATTTTTAGAATCAACATTTAAAAATATGAGAAGCAATTGAAGAGGAAGAGACAAAAAGAGTTCATGGGTTTGATGAGTTATTTTTCCAAAAATAGTGAAAAATCGTGAGCTCTTCGCCATAAATTTACAAAATTTTGTAGACCGTCTAAATTTGACTATCTGCCTAGGCATTTGATAAAATGCCTGATATCACTATTTGCCTGCAACATATGCACTTCTATGTTCAAGCTGTCCCATTTTCATTCTTACATAATGAAACGTATATTGTCAGAAGCAACAGTGGAAATGTGTCCTTGAAAAATTAATGTCTGTGCTAGTCTTTTGCAATCAAGGAGCAATCAATGAGCGAGTAGTCAAGAAAAGATAGGTTAGAAACCCTGTGACAATTTGCAACAATTTCTGGAACCTGCTTGAAGCAAGTTCTGATCGTTACATGTGCAAATGTTACGTCTTGCAACAAAAAATTCAGCTAAGTCTAGCCTGCTGACAATTAATAACCCTGAAAAAATAGGAATGTTCCCAGCTGTCATGAAATAATAACAATTTGTCCTCAAACAAATTACAACTACATTGTGATACATTTTTCCAAGTAAACATCTGACAGTACCCAAAGCTACATTTTAACAGCCTAACTTCCCCCAAGCTGTGGCGGTGCCAGTTTTATGAGCGGCAATGAGATGTTAAATAAGAGGACAAAAATGTGCATGCGAGGTCTTAGCAAGATATTCAGCATATGAAAAGAGGAAAATCATTGAAATTGAAAATAGGTACTATGATAGAAAACATACTTTAATAAAAATATCATTTTGATTAATAAGCAAAACACACAGTGGGATACATTATCGAGATAGAATTCAAGCTGAACAAGAGTGAATGCTGACTCAAAAACTGAGTGTATATTTTTTAAAAGATTGAGTTGATGTTGGCGAATAACAAGATTGGCACGTTTTCTCTTTGCAACAAGCATATATCTAAGTCTCAATAAATAGCTTAAAAATATACAAGTATCTATTTGGAATGGAACTAGATCAAGTTAAAACCTCAAAATTTGAATACCAATGCTTGCAATTGTAGAATATCTCTTGAATTTTTACCTACATTAGTCATTTTCTGGATCAAAAATGATTATAGGTGAAAAGGGGGTTTGGACCATGAATGAATTTGCAAACAGATTTTTATCACTGTGTTGTTTCGATTTTTCAGGTGTTTTAAGGACTTCTGAATACTTTTTCTAAAGTCAGAGGTAATTTTTGGTTATGTTTCAAGAACGCTACCTTTCAGGTAGCAATTAATTAAATTAAAAAGGTCCTTATTTACACATTTCAGCGCACAAAAAATACTTCTCTACTGACATGTTTTGCTGAATCATTTTTTGCTGTTAATAGTTATCTGACTACGTTCACTCGTCTTGATAAATAATTTGACTTCCATGTAGCATAACTCTTCTGAATAGATAGCACAAGGACAAGTATGTTGCCATGCTAACAAAAAATGCCGTACAAACATTCACTCAATGCCAAATTTTTCCCTGTAGAACATTAATTTTTGAGAAAAATTATGAAGATTTCAACTTGAAAGTTTCAGATGTTTTAGATCACATTACTATGATTTTCTGGAAAATTTGACAGAAAATATTCTCAAGTTTTCTGATAATTTGAGTTGCATCAAAGGAAACTTGACAATGTGCGAAGGCTCATACAACGTTCTTCGTTTGCATGGCACAGAGGCACTTCCTTTTACCAATCAATATTTATAAAACTAGGAAAAAGAAAAGAGCAAGGAAAATTCTCGGATTAAAATGGTAAAAACAGTTTCTTTGATCACTTGGAACTTTAAGGACTGTACATTCTGCGTAAAAAAATATAATGAAAAAATGAGTTAAGTACTTTGAGTGAGAGAGACAGGAAACAACCTCATTTGAAGGGCCTCGGAATTTCCAAGGATGGTTTTTCAAAGGTCCAAGAAAATTTTTTACAGATAAGACCTTTCAAATTCCGACACAGCTGACAAGACGATGAACAAAATCGACCGAACGTATTAAAAGGGGAAGATAGGATCCAGTCAGCACGGATAGACTTACAGGCTGCTTCATTCAGCACTTAACCACCTTATCAATACGGTGAATCAAAATTTTGAGATATTTTTATGCATAATCCTTGAACAAAAGTCGTCTACAGTTCATCCGATATTCATTTAAAGGATTTGATGGTGAAGGAGTCAGGAATAACTTGGAAAAGAAGGCCTAAAAAATATCGCAAGTCTTCTTGATTTTCAATTTGCACTGTTCAATTGGACTGTTTGTTCAGAGTTGTTGAAAATTACTTCAATATAAAATGTCATAAGAATATTCTTACTTGAGGTGCTGCAAGTTTTAGAGGGTTCCAAAGAGATGTCTCATAAGTAATTGTATAGTTAGGTTTGTACTCTTTTCAAAAGGAGAATAAATAGTCCTTTCAATTATATATAAAGATTTTCTCCGAATCAGGAGAATACAAAGTTGAATAAATTCGATAGTCCATAAAACTTAACACTCGAAGAAAACACGCATTTCTCAAGTCTCTGAAATGAGACTGAAAACTGAAATGTTTGATTTCTGAAAAATCACACAAACACATTAAATTGAAATATAAAAGTTTGGATGCAAAACTTGGTTAGGTACAAAAATATTCTGCATTAAAAATGTGATAAAAAAATAAGTTAAGTACTTTCGAAAACAGGTACTGGAGACAACCTGAGAATTCTCGAATATTGCTTCATTGAAAAATGGATCAAAAAGTTTAAGAACCTTGGCCTTAAATACATACGCCTTAAAATGTTCGATAAATATCACAAGATATAATAAAATAAATTGGTAGATCATAGCCACTGGGTGGAAGATCAACTATCAATTAGCGACGAAATCGCTTGCAGTGTCCTTCAATTGCCGTTTGACACCTGGATTCCACGTCTTTTGGCTTACTGATTGCGGCATTGTAGGCAGCAACTCTTTTCTTCACCGGCGAAGTCACCGGTGATGTTATCTTCAATGTTTCAACATCTGTTAAGATAACTTGCGCTCCCCCAACAGCGGTAGGAACAACATCACCCTATAAAAATAAAATCGAGTTATTAGAGAGGCACATATTCAGCTTACAGTGAGGTTATTACTTCACTGCAGGAAATTAGAAAAGATCTCCGGGGAGTGGGGATGCATTTTTGGCCTGACATTTCAAATGGATATGAGATTAAAAAACTAAACCATGTTTATTCTTCAGCAATGTCATGAAGAGCCTATAACTTCTTTGAGATTAAAAATCCGTTCTCAATTTAAGGAGTGAACTATTTTGAAAATTTGGAAGAATGTAAAGAGCTCTCACTATAAAAATTTCAGATTTTCAGAATACATTCTATGCTCCACGTTTTCTCTTTTTTAATGTAGTTTATTTGGCTTTTTATTCCTCAAATATATTGACAAAATCTACAGCGATTTGTACTACAGTGTTAAGGAAGAACGCTGCATGAGCCTTCAGACGTTGCCATGTTTCCTTCAATTAAAAATGAATTTACATGGAAAATTGTGAAAAATTTTTTAAAAAATTTCAGAAAATTTTGTTCGGAATTTACTCTAAAATATCTGAAAATTTCCAAGAAAAATATGAATAACTTCCTTCAAAAATACATGTTTGACCCGGGGAAGTTTGGCAACTCTCAAATGTTCATACAGCGTTCTTCCTTAGCATGGCAGTGTAGACATAGCATGTTATTGGAAAGAATATGTTAGGGAGGTTGTTTATGCTACAAGCAGGGAAGGACCCATTATACACCATCTACAATGGAGGTTTTATGAAAAGGAGTTCCTACTATAGCATTTTATAAGCTACTAGGGGGCTATGCCCCCTGGCCGCTGTGCGGCCCAACCCCCAGAGGGCTCTTCCCGCACTCTTAGGCCCATTTCAACAAAAGTACGACATAAAAAATAAAAAGATTTTTATACTAGACTCTCATTTGTCGAATCTTCTTCTGGCCGGGAGCAATTGGACCAATAAGAATCGAATAAAAAAATCGGCATTTATTTCAAACTTCATTGCTGGGAATTTCAAATGTTGCCTCCCTTTCTACGCTCCCTGGTCTTCTCTTATATAAAAAAACTTGGGTCCTATTTCCAAAATCTGATTACAGCGGGTTCATCTAGGAACTATCGCCTGTCAATAGCCCCAAAATCATGAAAACCGGCCAGGTAGAACGCTGGAACTAAGCGTTACCAGGTATACAAATTTAGGAGGTCTCGGAGCTTATAGTTTAGATTTGTTTCTACTAAAACCATCTTGGTATGTTGACCCATTCTGCTTAGGGACATGGACATGAAACTGAGGGTAAGGAAACTTCTGGAACTCTCTTACTAACCTTGTACAGATGAGTTTCAAGCTCTCCATCTGTGTCTTGATTCTGCGCGACAAGACAATATTTATTCGTTTTGGAATCAGTAACATCTTTGACATCGGTCAACTTAGTGACGGATTTCCTCTTTTTCATGATTGGTTGGAAAACTGTGCCCAATTTCACTGGTGTTGGTGGCTGATGGTGCAGCCATTGGTCGTGACTCATCGAGCGCGATCTCCTGTGACCCCTGATGCTGCTCACTGCGACAAAAGTTTTGGGTCCTTCTTTTTTCGTCTCTAATCTAGGCACTTTAGCATCGCTGTCTGAGCTGATCGTACTTTCGGCTGATCTCCTTCTTGACCTCGTAAAGACTCCGTGATGATTGTCTGTCGATGATGAAGAGGAAATACTCTCTCCGGGAGCAAGGGCCCTGCGGGCTATTTTCATCCTCCTTTCCTTGTCACGGAGATTTTGCTGCAGGAAAGGATAGAGAATTAGAGTTGGTTCACCTTTGGTTGTACCGATTCTTTTCAATAGAGGAAATGTGATGGAGATAAAAATATTATGACATATTGCACGATGGATCATTTACAGAGACCTCTTGACCACCAGCTTATCATGCTAACTCAATTTTCAACGATAGTTGGTTCAACGTGAACCTGGAGGTGAGTCAGGTCATCCAACCGGATGACACACTTAAATGAGCTTCCTCATAAATTGAAATGCTTTAAGATGACTATCGGTTAAATCCTATAAATCACTAAATTACTAATCCTTAAAAAAGGGTGGCAAGTTTTCAAGAAATCAAAGAAAATCTGGGAAGGTTGGTAAATTTTGATCAACCCTGGGAAGACAAGACATTTTGGTATCAAACCTTGAATTTTCTTGTCCATTTAGACCATTAAAGTGACTACGATTACACTCATGCATTCTATCTGCAAAGCTGGAGGTTTCTGCTACAGGTGTATTGGGGAAAACATTTTCATACTCATGACCCTTGAAAATTTAAGGGAACAGTTAGGAGAGTTGTTATTTGAAAGTTTGTGTTTCATTTTTGACTCTTGAAACTTCAAGAAATTTAAAAATACAAGAAAATATTTTTCCCCCTTTGAGGGAAAATTTAATGGTTCCAGTTGTGACTGTGGTTAGCATTTCTGTAATTCCTACCTCAATTAGTTCTTTTTCTTCCCTCATCTTCAGCTCAAACTCCCTTGAAAGCTCCTTAGTTTTGGTGGCTACTTTGTTATTGTACCGCTGCTTGTCTCTCATTTTCTCTTCTTCCAACTGCTGCAACTTCATTTCCGCCTCGTTTAACTATAACCAGAAACAAAGGAATAAAGGTTAAAAAATAAAAATAAATCATACTTTTTTATTTCAAGTCTATTAAACTACTAGGGGGCCCTGCCCTCTGACCGCTACGCGGCCCAACCCCCAGGAGGGCGCCTCACGCCCTCAGGCCCGCTTCGCGGGCCCTATACGCATATGTATAGGCAAACATGTTCTTCCATTTGAATACATCATTTTGTGTTCGAACTGCATCGATTTCAAAATTTTTGGCGTAACACTCAGATTTGTAAATGATGAGGAATAGCAGGATGTACATAATTTCACAGTCCACCTACTGGAGAAATTTCCATTTATTATGTTATTATTAAATACTTAATTTTAAAAAAAATCGGATTTCGACCATTAAGAGTTAATAATATTTGGTCAGTCCCGACGCGACGCAGCACCTGCCTTCTCACTTTGTATCTGCTGTTTATCTGCTGTAAATATTAATAGAAATTCAGCAATCAAGTAAATTGACCAATGCCACAAATCGAAGCTGGAAGAATGCAGGAAAAATTGAGTTAAACCTTATACCTTGGACCTTGAACCTTGAACCCTGAGCGATGCAACGTTCCTCAACTCTTCGAATGAGAAGCCCTTCACGAGCTTTTCCATTGTTTTATTGTTTATTCGAGTCACTCAGGTAGAAACCCACACCTTGACGTTTCTAGCAGAAACGACATATCGACGGTGAAACTACCAAACCACGTATCTCGTTTGCGGTGTTTAAAAATCTACGCTCACATTTTATTTTCTTGAGGTAGACCAAATCAATATCATTCCTTGAAATTTTCACGGAATTTTCTCCGCACAAAGAGGAAAAATCACAGAAATTTTCAAGACTGGACGTTTAGTAGTTATTCATTTAAAAAATAAAGTATGACAGGAAGTCTGCGACGTCGCAAACCGAGATACGTGGTTTGGTAGTTTCACCGTCGATATCTCTCACGCTATTAACATTGGACTTAAGTGACATGAACTTTAAAAGCTCTACAACATTATAAGTTCGGGGTTTCATAATTTTTTGCACATCTACATCTACTACAGATGACATACATGTAAAGATCATCCTTATCGGTCTGGCAGTTCGTCAGGAATAGTGCTTCCAAGATTTCGCTTGTAGCTGTATAATATAGATGAATAAGTGGAGAGAATCCATAGGAGGAAACTGGGTACAGCAGGCTGAGTATTAAGATGGATGGAAAAGCGATATACACAGAAAATAACTTTGAGAGAAGATAAGCAATCCTAAAGGTGGAAACAAGTAGTTGTAATGGATAAAGGAGGTAAGTCCTAGACTAATTAATAGCAACCCACTTAGGACTCTACAGTTAGCCCATCACTTTCTCCAATAAAAAAAAAAAAAAAAAAAAAAAAAAAAAAAAAAACACCTGTATCAATTAATAGGATCGCTCTATTATCTTTTTGTCTTCTTTGTAAATAATCAGTCGGAACAATGTACTGAGACACTCACTAATTACTCCATGAGACACTTCAGAGTCTTTCTTTATAAACTTAATATTCCAATCTTATATCCTGACTGACAATAATTGCTCCTCTGAATTTGCACTTAAGCCCTCTTTCCTGGTGATGATCACATGTTTGCATCAAAGTTTTTTGACATTCATGGTTTTGTCAAAAAACGAGGGAAACAAGAGGAGAAAAATCAAGGTGGCTTTTAAGAAATTAAATGGAACAGTTTTTCAAAGAAAGGATACAGTACAGCAGGAAGTCTGCAACGTTGCAAACAAAGGTACAAGGTTTCACACTTTCACCATTGGCATCCTAAGTCCGACTGCAATTCGAAAAAAGCAGAGCAAATTTACCTTTTCCTTCACTGCTTTGTATTTACTGGTATAATCTTCCAGTTCTCTTTGAAGATTACAAATTTTTGAATCATCATCGACTGTTTTGGTTTCTATGGATCTCATTTTCTTTTTATTTTGATCCAACATTGCCTTGAGAGACAGATTCTCCTGGTCCTTCAACACACGATCTTTCTCGACATCTAACAGCTGAACCCTGAAGTTGGCACCTGAAATGTAGGAGATACGCATTACAAATATACTTTATTAGGCAGTAACTTCTAATTTTCTTGAAGTTTTAGGTTGCGGGTACAAGGGTTGGGCCAAAAGTAGATGCAACAGTCTTATTTCTCCAAAATTATTACATATAAATGAATGTGGTGAAAAGTGGCATGTCCATCATACTCTCAGCCATGCATTGAGCTAAAGATTTTAAAAATCGGCCGACTGTGTAGTTTGCTAAAAAAGTCCATTTTGCTAGACCGATTACTCTGCGCTGATCCAAAGAGGTAACAATCAAATTTTGCTATAATGTTTATTTTCCTTTTGATCATTCCCACAAAACTTAGACTGATTTTCATACCTAAAATTACAGCCAATATTATCTGAATCTAAAAAACCGATTTCTGAACGACGGTTTGTGACAGTTCTGCGAACCCAAAATTAGAGACTTTTCAATGAGTGCTAATTAAAGAAATTAAGGATCCTCCAAAGATTTCTGAAACATTTTTGCGGTATTTTCAAGCATATAAAAAAAAAATTTAAACGCCTTGCAGGATGCCTGAAAAACAGAAGTTCCCTCTTCCAAAACCTATTGGTAGTATCTGCTAACAATTCATAACGAAGCAAATTAAAAGCATACAGACCCCACTATTTGACATTTAAACAAAGTTTATGGAAAAGAAGAAAAATCTGCCTGACGGTCAAAAATAAAATAACCAAATGATATGGAATTGAAGACTTTCCGGTACATTTCGTTTTCTGAATATTAAAGTAATACAGGCACTCAAAAACTAAAAAATAGATTTAGGTTTTATGGACTTTTCAAGGCGTCAAATACCCTGCTGACCAAGCAAACGCCTTCAGAAAGAAAGAATGCTGATTTTCAAAGCCTGCTTGAACCAAATAAATTACACTTACATCTCTCTGCAATATCCGCCATAAGCTCTGCCCTACGATTAGCTCTTGCTTCCAGAAAACGGGCCAAATTTTTAATGATTTGATCATCATTTGGATCAAGTAATTCCATGGGAGGAAATGCAGGACCTAACCTGAAATACAAAATATAAAAAATTAAAAGCTGAAATCAGACACTGTATATGAACTAATAAAAATAAAATATTTCAGCGGGATTGAATAAGGTAAAAATCAAAATCTAATTTTCAATTCTACTACATGAGAGATCTTTTCAGGTGTATTTGATAAGGAGAAAAAACCACAGAGAGTTCAATTTTTCAGCTGATTTGGAAAAATTATTTTCCTAAATAATTTGATTAAGGAGCCTATTAATACTTGTCAAACCTTGTGTAAGGTATTCTTTGCCATAATGGGCTGTTTTTGTTGGCAGTGCCAGTCACAGCTTCTTCAGCAAACACACAAAAATGGAGCAGAAAAATTATCTTTAATTAACGACACCTACAGAAACTTTAAATTTCTATTGCAGTACTTACGAATATACTAATCCTACGTCAATTGGAATGTGAGCTGAATCAGTGCTTCCATTATCCTCAATTTCTTTGAGAGCTTTTCTGAAAATCTGCAACAAAATGAAAGCATATCAAACAGATGTTTCTCTTTTAAGTCAGAGAGATTATGAATTAAAAATATTGACAACATGAATGCTAATATAACCAACACCTTGAAACATATAAAGCAATCATAAACTTCTTCAGAATTTACAATATTTCGCTTTAAAAATAATGCTGCACTTCTAGAACCAGTTATTGTTATTTTAACCAGGGTGTCTACTAAAACAAGCTGGCCAAAAATCAATACTTTCACAGTGCTTTTTCAGTAAATTCCCAAGAAATTCAGTACTTCCTCAACAGAAAAATTCAGTACTTTTTCAGTGCCTCCATTTAACGTAATTCGAAAATTTACGAAATGCGAAAAATTTCAAAAATCGAATTTCTTGCTCAAATTTTGGCAAATGTACGAAAAGAATCCAGGACCTTCTAGGGGAATTTCCGCACTTTTTCAGTGCTTCCAGACCACCCTTAAAAAACAGTACTACTTACGGACTTTCCAGAAAATCAAGACTTGTAAACACCATATTTTAAAAAACTAACTCTCCCCTATCATTCAATCCCCCTACTCATTACTTTACATTACCAACCTCAATCTATAAATCTCCATCCCCCACTACCTACCTTATTAGCCCCTTTGTATGTTTTCTATTGCTCAGTCTTTTTGGGCTAGGAAGTCACTTTAGTGAGCCTTCAGTTGTGAAGATGGTGGTAGCTTAGTACCCCTTCCATTTCCCGTTACCTCTTGCTCTCGTGTATACACCTCATAATATAAAACCTAATTTGTTTCACTCATAATTGGATTACATTTTGCAATAAGGAGCCACTATTTCTGGCCCATTTTAGAAACAACATACATGCCATTGGTTTCCCTATGCAGATATGTGCTTTTATGAAAGAGCCAAAGATAGTGGTTCCTTATAGCATAATGCAATCCAATTAACTTTCTGTCACTCAACATGTCTAGAGTTGGCTGTAGGCTCCAAAAGGATAAAAGCTAGTAAACCAACGGTAAAAAAAAAAAAAAAATATGAATGCAAATGATTGCTGTAAACAAACGACAAATGCAACGCTTTGACACACGGAATGTCATGCCACTGAGGATGAGGTCCTGAACCTCAAAATGCATCTGGAATAACTTGAAATCGGTGAGCACTCAAGGCGAAAATAAATATTCTTAATTAAATACTAAAGAGTGCAAAATGCGAATCAAAAGATAAGAACGATTTCTGAAAAACTATTAACATTCCAACAAGATGATGAGAGGGAAACAAACAACTTAATCAAAGAGGTCCTCAGTTGAAAGAAAGGATGAGGCCCTTCATAGCATTTTTCATTATGTTTCATTTTCTTCAAGTAAAACTAATCAAGATGTTTTCTTGAAATTTTTTGTCACTTCTTTGGATAAAAGGATTTTTTTTTTTTTTTTGATATTGTAACACTTTCTGTAACCACCCTTGTTGGGCAGGAATGGCATCTGAACACAAATAACAAGAAAAAAAATAGAGCGGAGCCTACAAATATTTTACCTGATTTGCCTTCCTCCTGCCAGGAGTAAATCTGTTATCCAAGACAGGTTTCATTGGAGTTGGTGCAGTGACTTGCACTTCTTGAGAAACTTCCGAGAAATTCATCACGTGCTAAAATAGAAAGGAAAATTATATGATTACAAATAAAAAAATTAGAAAAATTTAAAAGAAAATCGTTTCAGTTACAGTGTGTCTCTGCACAGTTGCTTGCAAATTACTTGTTGTTCCTGCAAGTTACTTGTAGAAAAAAATTGTTTCTCTTTCATTAAATCTTACAGGGAAATATGAGTGCTATCAGCACTACTCCCATAACAATAGCAATACTCTCTCTGATGGATGATAAACATTTTTGATGAGGAGCAAATCTTCAATTTATTTGAATCTAAGCAGATTCCAATGTGCCTACGATGGACAAACATTCTACATAGGGGTTGATTTAGGGGGGGGGGGATTTCAGCCAAACACTGATGCAACATTAAAAAACAGCAAAAACAAAAATGCTCATACGGTTTCTCCACTTTTGATAGATTTCAGGTATTTGTTACGGAGTAAAATGAAACGAGAAAAGATGAAAAAACTCACTAGAGTTTCGCTATAATCTTCAGCCGCTGGGTTCACACAAATGATCATCCTTACATATCCTTCTCCTTCAAAATAGTTCTTGAACAGTTGAGTCAGGCGAGACTCACGATAAGGAGGGATCTTGGAACAGTTTCCGGTTAGCTGATTTTCACGGAGAGTATCCAGGCATTTTCGTAAAGTCATCAAAGAGTTGTTGATTTTTCCTAAAAATTATCAAGAAGTGCCTTTAATTCTCTGAAAATAGACCACAGAAAAGGGATATCCAGGAACTGGTCTTATTTAAGATGCCGAAATATCATTTTCAAAAACATGTTGCTCATTTCAGTAACTTTCCGAAAAGCCCTCTTCAAACTCACTTGATCATAAATTTGCTTTCCTACAGTAATTTTTTAGTGATTTAAAAAAAAAAACCCTCCAGAATTTTCGAGACATTTATCATTCTCCAACTCCATTTAGCAATGACACAGCTTTGTTCGGAATGTTAACATGAAAATCGTTGAAGTTAGTAGAGTTAAAAGCTCAATCTATTCGAGTTGTCTTACATGTCAGAGGACGTACCAATGCCATCTTGTGTTTTATGAAATGAGTTTTTCTGAGAAATTTAAACGTAACGTTTGTATTAATTACTAATTTGCATTTTTGTAGACCGAGATTTCTCTGCTTCTAGGAGATTTAGATGGATAAAAGCTGTTAATGGATAAAATCGGTCAAGTACAGGGAATTCTAAAGGGGCATAAAGACTTCAACGAAGTTCAAGAAGTCAGCTAGTCAGCATTTCTCAGTTCAGAAAATCAAGCTAGGCTGATAACTCTTCGAAAATTTTAAATTATTCTAGCTTTCAATTGAAAATTTTTGTCATTTGCATGATAACTTAATTAGAAAAATTTGCGAACTTCATTCCTGATGTTGCTGTGTCCTCACGGAGTAAAGTTAGAGAATCAAAATAAGGTACACTCTACTACAGGTATGGACAAATGGAATTTTAGAAAGTTGTTGAAACGTATAGATTTGAAAGCGTCCAATGGTATGACTGCAACACCATATTGAAAACTTATTTACTTTCTGTTCTGAGAGTGGGTCTTGTCAATTTCGTGTTATTTTTTCGTGTCCTTAGTTAAGTTTTTCCTTATTTTAGGTTTTATCAATTTTTTAAATTAATCTGATGCTATTCTAGCTTATTGAAGCTACCAGATCTGCCAGAACCTCATTTTGAACTGCGCATCAAAGACGGTACGACTTGCGTCGTCACTTGATGGCCTATATTCTCAACACTGCCACTTCTGCACCCTGTTTGTCCAACCCTGTAGTAGAGTGTACCTTGGAATGAAAAATGACTCTGAAATCCCAGGAGGTTATTTCTTACATGTCACAGAAGAATTTTAGCTAATTTTTTCACCAGACAGATCAGGATGAGTTATGAGCTCTGGAAAACCATGTTCCAATATCTTTTTCGGTTTTCTTAAAACAGGCTAACTTTAGTTTTTGTGGAGATAGTCTTTGCATGTGCACAAATGAGAGAGGATGGTGGAGTGATGATTCAATATTGAGAGCAGAGACAGAGATCTAACCTGTTTCTTTCAAACGCTGTCCTTCATTCTGCGTTCGACTGGTCCGTTCCGCACCAGCAAGATCTACAAGCGATAATTGGCTGATGCCAATCATTTTTCGATCTTGGATGATTTGGTCTCCTTGAATATCCAGAGGTGCCTACAGTGTAAGAAGAAAAGTTAAAATGTAAATTAAAGATCAATATTTGGAAAAAAAATCACTGGGCCTGATTGAATAAATAGAAAAATATACATCTACTTTAGAGAAATTTCAAAAAAAGGAAAAGAAGAGAAAACAGGCAATAAGGTCTGGAAATTAAACGGAAACTTTCCTATCCTTTGACATTTTTCACTAAAATCTCTACTTCTCCAGAAAACTCACATAGTTTTCCAAAACTTAGACATTCGTTAGCGCACTCATGGTGATCCAAAAGTTCCGCACCACCAGCGCTGTGGTCACTTAGTTGGGTTCATTCAGGATCTTGTGAGATAGATTTCCTTCTCATGAAAGGAAAGAATCTTAAGAGTTTCCATCTCCGTGAGTTCATTATACCTATTTGACTCGATTGAGCAGTGCGCTTTTCGGTCTCATTTTCAGAGCTTGAAATAAGTTGCGGCTTCTAATAGAGAAATCCGCAGGCATTTCTTGCATGTTTCTATGATTGTTCAAGTCAATGATAACTCTGTCTGACACAATAATAAGGTTGTGATATTACGAGAAAAGAAGATACGACTGGTACCTGAACTAAGCGAATGGTAAACACCGAGTGACCCCTACTGGATTCTGCATTGGACATGGTCGGGGCGATCCTTCTTCGTTTCTGGGCTTTGTGATACAACTCAAATGCTTCCTCTGGAGACTTTACTTCTACTTCGTTCACTCCATGTATGTACATATTGTGAGCAGCATCTTCTCTTATTAATTTCAATAAAGAAACCCTGTGTGTTTCAAAAGAATCGATTGAAATTTTCTTTGGCTTGGAATGGAAAATAAGTGTACCTGCAGTATCTACTCGATAATAAAAAGTCTTGGTAATACTGAGAAGAACATGATTACTGAGAGAAAATCTCTTCAATTTTAAAAAGCAATGTATTTTCTGCTCTTTAATGATCAGAGATTTGAGGATCGGCTATCAGTGGATTGATCAGCTCTATTTTTCAAACTGGCGTCACCATAACATTCTATGATTTTGAATAAAAAAAGGCCAACAGACAAGGTATGATTTAAAGCACCACACAATATGAGCCCTCTACAAAATTTTGCGAGAAAACAAATCACACAATGGGAAGTCTGGCAACTAACTGCAAACAAAGATATACATTAGTTAAATAGAAAAAATACAAATTATCTGTGTTGAAGTACTTGGTAATACCTCGTTCAGGAGTTGATTTCTGAACTTCCTATTTGTAAATCATTTTCTGCATAAAATTTTGAAGAGATGACATGTGATATTTTCCTCCACTGTAAACCTTGTCAAGTAATCCATTACAAGCTATGTTTCCTGATTAAAACTTGTACAGTTTAAAACAGCTTCAATGACTGTTTTGATGCATGATTAAGTTCCTTTCAAATAAATTTAATCGACAGATGCTGGGATAGTCACCACAACCACTGCCGGGTGCAAAAAATAATATAATTATGATTTTGATTTGGTCAAAACATATGCACAAATCGGTTAACAAAATCATAAACTAAAAACAAAATGAATAGAACTAACACGACATTTGTGTAGATAAGAGCAAATTAGTCAAAAACATAATCAATAATAAAAGAACCAAATTCACGGAAAGATATCTTACTTTGATCGACTATCACCATCAGAAAATTCACCAAGCAAGTCATATACATAGTTATTGTAGATCTCAATGTATGTGATAAAAACAGCGTAAGCATTGTCCTCATCAACACCATCAATTTTGGTTGTATCAACTGTTCTATGATTTAAGTTTGGATCTGAACCGAGATCTTTATCTTTCCTAAACAATAAAACAAATTTATAAATCAATACAAGTTTTTTTTCTTCCTTTCTTCTTCTATCCAAATAGAGCGTTAACAGAATTTAAGATAAGATAAATATGGTCTTTTCTGGACTGTCTTTTGACCATCGCACAAATTTTGTTTTCTCAATCATGTCACAACATGGCATTGAATAATCCTTAGTAGTTCTGAGAGCAACTTAGCTGCTAACTAGATGATGGGAAAAATGAATAAAACCTCGACTCCTTAGGGACTCATTTGTCTTTTGAATAAACAAGAGTAAAAATTTAGTATTTTTTTATGAAAATTTATCATGAAAAAGGAGAATAATTTTTTTTCCAGTTAATTTTCTCAAATTTAGCTGGCAATACCTTGCCTTTGGCTTTCCTTTAAATAATTCGATCAACTGAACCATTTACGAACAAATAAAGGCACACAATTTTCTCTGATCTCTGAGGCAAAGGTTTTCCTGACCGTGAGACCATCCATAAAATTAACTGACTCTTTATGGACTTGTGAACGCCCTAAGTACATCACTTGTTTCACAAATAGGGGAGAGCAAGGCACTTACAGACGAATTTATAAGTTATCCCTTGATGATCTCATCATGAATCGATGAATATCTGCTAGTTACTTTCTTGTACTAATGGATCTTTGGCACAAGGGAAATGCTTCAGTTACAGCCTTTGATCACTTTAAGGTACATTTTTAATTGTTTGAAAGTGACTGGCTTTAATAAAACACATGTTTCTATTGCAGATGTAATTAATCTCTCAAATAGGGCCATTATTGGTAAAAATATGAATACCTACATTAAAGAGAAGCCCATTTGAAAGTTTACATCACTGTTTTTTGAAGCTTTACCTACTGCCCTATTACCGAAAATGCCTCTACTGCAGTTACAAAACTGATTGCATGCATTATGAAAAATGTTTTCCAGATGGTTGCAGAATGATCATCAAATGAACAAAGCTCCCGACAACTTCAACAAAAAATTTTAGGAGAACATCAGTGAAAGAGAAAAAGAAAGTACCTGAGACCAGGGCGAGATCTGCTATTTATTTCAGCTTGACGATCTAGCAAAGCTTCTGCTTCTGTCTGAACATCAAATCCATTCAGTTTGTCAGGTTTAAACATAAATTTCTTGGCTTGGAGACTTCCAATAGAATTGAATAAAATGTCCAGGCAACGGGGCATTATACCGACATCTGATGGTATCCCACTCATAGTGTAAGTCTTGCCACTGCCAGTGACACCATAAGTGAACAGTAAACCATTTCTCCCATGAATCAGATGATCCACAAGAGGCAAGGCCATTTCACTGAACACTTGTTGTTGAGTGCTTCTCTCATCGAAAACTTTCTGGAATGTGTACTGCATTTGCTTGACGGACACATTTCGAGCGCTGGCGTATGATTCTGGGGTAGTCACTTGGATGACAGTATCAGAGATCACTTTGATACATGTCTCTGAAGCGTTGGTTGGTCTCAGACGGCAAAAAACTTGCAATGAATCTCTCTGAGCAACACTTTTCGACTGTTTCTTGTTAGGCTGCTGATTTCTTTTTGGCCTTGAAAATAAGAGAGAATATTGGTGTTTAATTAAAATTCCAAATCCACTAACATTACGATATTACACATTATTTCCACACTTTTGATTATAATTAACCAAATACTATAATTATTTAATTTAGGTAGTTCATAATAAATATTGGTACATAAAATTAAAGATACCTTAATTAAGTTTTTAAATCATGAATATAATTATTTTTCTAGTGGCTTTAGTTAGTATGAAGTAAAGTCAGTAACGTCTGGTGAAAAATGCTGTTTTTGCAGATCAAAACAATGCTTCCTCATACCTATTGTAAAATTCATGTTTCAGGTCTAATTAAAAAATTACTCAAATGGGTGACCTCATAAGAAATACAGAACTTATGTGGTTAAGAAATCCTCACTTTACGTTCAGTGCAACTTTATAAATCTACAAATAGAGTGAGGCGGCACTTAAGTAACGGACTCCTAGCTTTTTAATCTTTCTAATCAAATATTTCATTATTTCTTTGATAATTCCAGTTGAAAAATTATCTAATTGTTTCACTCATGGTGTGAATGATTTTGCGGTACTCGTTTTTGATCTTCCAATTAACTGTTACGGAATTCAAAATCCAATGAAAATTCTTTAGTCAATTTGAATGCATCCGATGGACATATTTCAACACTACGACCTTATCAGGAATCTTCAAACACTAAGAAAATTTTTCCTCGGACGTGAGAGACCTTAGAACGAGAACCCCATACTTTTTAACTAACACTTTGAAGGCTACAAATTCTTCCATTAGCTTGATGAAAGTCCAAGAATAAACCAAGATTGATTTATTACAGCACTCTTTTTAACAAAACTTTTTAATTCAATCCATGGACTGAAAAGAGTCGATTAAACCCATGAAAACGAAATGTTTCAAGAGCTCTTCTACCAATCATCGTCGCACCTGTAATTACTCCAAGTGGCTGATAGACTGATTTTTAAGTCAGCGCAGTAACACAATAGTTAGAATTTGCTTGATTTATGATTTTACAATAGTTAGCATTTTTGATACAGAACTATGAATGAAGCCTAAGCAGATATGCATATGCCTTGAACGCTGACGCTTTTCTTTTGTTATTCTACAAGTTGGTGAAATAATTTTCTTAATTTTATTGATAATTTCTTTTATTGGTGTGTTGTATGAAAGCAAAGAGAGAGATTTTGGCAAATTTTCCAGCAAACTACAAATTTCTATGAATTCCTTGATTGCTATGAATGAGATTATCTTTGCAAAACTGTTCGAAACTTCTTTTGTTCTGATAGAAGATTTGTGATAAAGTTTTCAAAGTATTTTAAAATCCAACATTGGTAGAGCTATAAATTAATAGGAAGTGCCATTTAAAGAACATGAACAGTTTTAATACCTCATCTTTGTACGCGTACGTACCTCTACCCCTTGATTCTGAAAAGCATTTCTAATACAGTACCTTGTTTGTAGTTCAGTACTTTGGTTTGCAAAACCTTACTTTAAATATTTTAAGGATCAAAATAAATCATCAGTCTTAGTGTCCTGAGCAATTATTTAAAAGGAAAAATTCTGTTAAGTGTCAAACTGTGAAGAAAGAGTCTTAACCTGCTATGATCAGTTTTATAATTGGCCGAAGGTCAACATTTCATTAATTTTTTTGAAGGTTTGAGTCCCCAGGTTTCACAAAGCCTTGCCTGCTAGTCAGCTAGCCGTCCATTGACAATTTGATTAACCTGCTGCCTCCTTCACATCAGAGAAGAATCCCTTATAAAATGAGTAAATTACTTAGAATGTCAATTACTTTAGGAAAATGAAGAGTAGTTAGACAGAGTTTGGCAGAAACGCATCAGGTCGAATTTTGCAGAGAAAAATGGGTTGGGAGTAGTTTTGAATTCGACGAGGCATAAATTTTCTCCAGTAAAAAGATTTTAAGCTGAGAAAAAATATTTTGAACATGAGAATAGATGTTTAAATATTTAATTCTGAACATGGAGTTTCATAGTGGATTACAACTTCAAACCTCAGTTAAACCTTGATGCAACTTTGTGTATTTCTGTAAAATTCGGCCCTAATCATGGCCCAAAACTTTGAACCCATTTTAGTTAGAATACATTTTTTTAAAAGTTCATGGTGAACTAAGAACTTTGGAGTTTTTTCAGAATTTGTAAACTGTAAATGGCAAAGAAACCTTGTTTTGAAAATTCCAAAAATAAGACTAGCTTGTAAGGATATTTTTAGCGGGCTCTGATGACAGTAACCAGGCGGGGGGAACAGCATTTTGCTGTTTGGCTGGAACTCAGCTTCAGGCATTACCTCACTCACTGCGTCAACTCGACTGTTGTTAATAGTTTCTTCGCCCCTTAGAAATGATTTTTAAAACTTTTTTATTTTTTCATCAACTGTTATGTCAATGGAATTATACTACAACCATGCAAACATGTCTTGCCACTGCCCTATTTTTCAGAAATTTCAAAAACACATAACACCTTCATAACTAAGAATTAATGTTGAGAAATAGTATCTTCAAAGAAAAAGGGTAATAGCAAATCAGAGAAACTAAAAAGATTTTGAAGTATAAAAAATAACATGTATTATCATCATAATCAGTTAAGTAATATAATAGGTACAAGGATGAAAAATAAGTGTCATCTTAGAAAAAATCATATTGATGAATCCTTAAAAAAGAAAAAAACATTTCTCAAACTTTCACTCTGATGTCGCTTTAGGTGGTGCATATGGGCATCCCAAATACTGGTCGGCAATGATAGCAGCTTCGCGTAGACCACTCAAAAAGGCTCCGTGAACAGTTGCAGGGTAGTTACGAATAGTGTGCTCACCAGCGAAGAATAGCCTGGGCATGCTGGTTACAGATCCTGGCGAATCATTGGACGAGACAGGTGGGGCAATGGGAGTAGCAAGAATGTCGTAATCACCTCCGCTTGCTCCAACAGCGACAAATGAATAGGAGCCACGAGCCCAAGGGTCAGCTCTCCATCGGGTGACAACCGTTTCTTTGGGTTGGGGAACCGAGCTGTTGCCGAAAATCCCTTTGAGGACAGCTATGCAGCGCCCAACAATTACATCATCACTCACGTTTTCCATGATGGCGGCCGCTTCTCCAGCAACCAAGGCTAGTAAGACCGGAGCTCGGTACAGGTTCCAGAATAAGAATAGTTCTCCCCTACTAGCGGTAGTACTTCCAACGTGGCCAAATAGGTTAGTGTTGGGGTCCCAAAATATCCGATCAAAACAAAGGACAACCTTGTTCAAGTTACCGAAGCCCAACCTTTGAATTGCAGCAACTTTCCAGTCCGGTAGTGGAGGCACGAACTGAACTGAATTAGGTAAACCTGTGTTCGGTGCAGTTGATTGTTTCAAGACTCCTAGTGGCAACGTACAAAGAACGATGTCCCCTTTGTAAGTTGCAGGATTGGTTTGGTTGCGGGCATTGGATGTGACAACCTCGACCCCGGTTGGTCCATAGCGTATTTGCCGAGCCGCAGTGTTCAATTTGATGTCCAAGCCTTCTGTCAGAGAGACTGGAACGCATGAATAACCATTACGAACTGTGAGATGACTTCCTGAAAACTCGTAATCATCATCTTGATCCCAATGTTTCAGCGATAAATTTGTGAGTGGGGTGGCATTTGCAAATTCTAAATTGGCAAAATGCCAGTCAAGGATTTGCCTGTCTCGTGATGACAAGTAGACATCACTGGGCGGCGATGCTTCTAAGTTTAAAAGTTTTTCTTCTATTTCATTTTGCTGTTCTAATAGTAAGTCCCACTCTTTACAGGCAGTGTGAATATCCCGAAGCTTCGAACGAATTAAAAATTCTTGAGTTATGTCTCTCACTCTACACTCACTTAGCAATTCTTTGTACTGCTTATGAAGATCTTCAAGAGTTTCTTTGACGGAAATCATCCTATGTTGGTTGGTTTTTAATCTTTCTTGGAGACCGATGACAGCTTTCCAATGCTGTAGTTGCTTCTCTGTTACGCTCTTTTCTTGGAGTTTGATGACCCATTCTAGGGCTTGACCTAATGATACTGGTTTACCGTCTAAATAATTGAAGTCCAACTGATGAGATAAATAACTTGTTGCTTCTAAAAGGCGATTGAATTCACGCTCAACCATTTCATCTTTATCTTTTGGAACGACAACAGTCCCTCCATTGCATTCATACAATGGACATTTTTGCCTAATTTTATGCAACTCCATGGAAATTTGTTTTGATAGAACTGTGACTGGATTTCCCCCAAGTCCAGTGACAACCATTGCTCCTAAATCGGCGACAAACGAGCCTTTTCGGAATGTAGCTATTCTTCCTCCGACTCTATCTCTTGCTTCAAGCACGACTACTTCCATTCCGAACTGCTGTAACTGCTGGGCAGCAGCAAGTCCAGCTATCCCTGCTCCAATTATAATTGCTTTACCTTGTTTTTTCACCGGTAGGGGTTTCAATCTTTTAAAAACTCCAATATTAATGTATCCATGGCGCTCAAGAAATGCATGAATACGAATCGCAAACGGTCCATCACTGTTGTAAGGTGGCTCTATTAACGGGAGAGCATTCTCAACAACAAGCTGTTGTTTTGGATTGTCAAGCCAGAGTTGTAGGAACCTATTACGAATGTGCAGATAAACTTTTAGTGTTTCAGGATAACCTTTCGCAACGTCTGGAAAACATTGTGCTTCTATGGCAGACATTTTATCGAAGGGAAGCCTGCTCTGAAAAGCGGCACCTTCAAGTCCCGAGAGGTCATCTTGTTCTGAGTCTTGCTCAACTTCCTCTTCATTCTCCGATTTTGAATTGTTAGGCTGCTGAGCAGAACTTGTGTCAGCTTTGGTTTCTTTATCCACTGGAGTGTTGCTCGTTCCTGGTGTTCCAACAGGTGATTTCTTCTCAGATTTACTTTTTTCTCCGTTGCTGTTGTCGTTGATGGGTAAAGTTGTGCTCTCTGCTTCTTCACTCATGACTATATCATTATCCAGCGAATCTCCTTGTTCTCCTTTAGTTTTCTTCCGCCTGTTAGCAGCAGTGTTCATCCTCTCTCCTTAAACTCCAAATTGGTTTAATTCACTGCTCGAATAGAATGAAATTATTCCATACAAAATGTTAACCTGGGAACAAAAAAAAATTAAATCCAAAATTATTATGCTAAAATCGAAAAAATATGACGGATGAAATGTTAGAGAAGGTTCTGTTTTTGAGACTTAATTGAACAGGTACAAAAAATTTTAAATTGACTAAGATGAAAAGAGATGAGGTACAAATAAAAATTGATCTTAGGATTCAGGTTGGTTGAGTTGATCAATTTAAATTTATTTGTTAAACAAGGAAAATTCATTTATTAATGCTTGCAGCAATTGACCTGAGTTATGGACGATAATCAAAGAGACTGCTAGCAAGGTCCAAATAAAGCTTTTTAACGTTGAAGGAATTTTATAACTTTCAAAGTTATTGGATATTAGGGAATATTATTTCAAAGGAAACAAAGAACAAATTTTTCAATAGATGAAGCGTTTCCGAAATTTTCACTTATACTTGTCACTGTCTACAGCAAAAGGGGTCTCTCTATTGATGAGGAAAAATTTTAGGTTGAGTGAATAATGAGGAACGAAAAATTGTACTTTGAGAATTTGACGCAAGACTCTTCAGTACCCAACAGAATAAGTGACGAGCAATTTATTCCATTTCTATGCCAATTAGAGGGCATAAGGCTCCAATATCAATACACAATGCGTATTCCAAAATGGCAGATAAGAATTTAAATTAGCTTCAAGTCAAAACTATATTTAAGTAATGAAATGCAAACTTCAAACAACTGTAGCTTCGATTTTGTCTGAAAGTTTTGGGTGTTTTTGGTTCAGAAAATTTGTTAGGCTACTCTCAATGCTGTAGTATCATGTACCATGTATGCATGCTCAGTGAAAGTGACTTGAATCTGAGTTTTCGTGGACAAAGTTCACTTATTTTGTGGGTAGTTACATCTAAAATATACTTCCTACTAACCTAACTGATCCAATGAAGTTTTAACAGAATTAATTGAACAGATTTAGTGGAAATCAGCTTGACTGCATTCCATGTTCCTAATTTTCTCTCAAGTTTCATTTTTTAAACAGAGAACTCAACTACGTAACAATTTAAAACTCTCTGAACCTACCCTAGATCATGAAGGAAATATATTCGCAAACTTTCAAGTTCCAGCGCTGCTTCGTTTCTGATAAGGAAATTATTATCAGCAAAAAATACACAACATCTGATGTAGTAAAGCTGATTCCTTGTTGTTTCCTGGACGAGGGAACGTAACTTTATTCTAGGGTTGCAAAATTGCCTCAAAGAATTCAATTTTGAATAAGAGTGTACCACTGCGATTTTATCCGAAATTTTTCTGATTTTGGTATGAGATCAAAGGAGAAATCAATGAAATTTTCAGTTAGAACTACCCAAAATTCTCAAGGAAAAATTTTATTAACGAGGGAAAATTTGGCGAAGTTGAAGAGTAGTTACGTTCTTTCGTGAGGTAAAAGACTATCGTTCTTTCGTTAAATCTGTCCGATTTAAAGGCAAAATGTACAGCTCACACTGACCTTTGATTCACAATTGTATGCCTCAAGATTTTTGATCTGCAGTTTTGCAGAAGGCTCAAGACCAAAAGTAAATCATTTCACTCATGACTTTAGGCATTCACAATTAGTTCCAATTCCCTAAAGGGTGTAACATCTCCAAAAAGACTTCGTAGGTACAATATTATTTGGAGTTAGAGCATTTAGATTCTGTGAAAAGAAAAAGAAAACAAAAATGAAATAATATCGCAAATGAATGAAGGAAATAACTCAATTGAAAAAATAAGAAGAATATTTTTGTGCCTTCAACGGAAAAATTAAGGAGAATGATATGATAATCTAGGTTTACAAATGTTTTGAGATAAAATTGTTTTTTAAAAAAAACCTATATTTGTCACAGAAGTTTACTACAAGGTATCAACCACCAATTTTTCTGCACGGATCTTTTTTTCTACGCCAACAAGAGTCTCAATTGCAGACAGTTAGGTGTTGACAGTGTTACCATCCATTTCACTCTTGTTGGAGCACTTCAAGAGGAATACCTAGTTGAAAAGTCCTGCTTTGAGCTGCCTGGATGTGTATGTACTATATGCCTAAAATGCTTCCAAATTGTAGAGACATTTAGCTGTTAGGAAGGAAGCCATATGAATGGTCCAATGGCCAAGTGGTCCAGCTTTACCTTTAAAGCTGCACTTTTCTGGACCAGAGGAAATTGTAGGGGGAATACATGCAGCTTGTTGCAGCATTTATTATTTACATGCTAGATTAAAATTCATTGATGCAAAAACTGGATTGCAAAGGGATTTACGCATTAAGTCCCAAAAACATACCTTCATCTACAATATTAAAGAAAGTAAACACAGTTCATACTTACTTCTACAGTTTCAAAAAAACCATTTGCTTTCAACGGATCAAGATTGAATTCATCCGAGCATTGTGCAATATGATTACATAATGTGAATAATCGATTATGAACTCAAAGCAGTGAAAAAAAGCTGGATGATTAAACAAACAAAAAATAAAACTCAAAATAAAAAACAAACGCACGATAAAACTTTCCAAAGAACATGTCAGACTGCTCCATGATGAAATGCTCAGCAGTGTTAAAATTATAAAGTTTTTAATAGTAATTATGATAATTATTATAAAACCAACGACGAAAAAATCAGTTTTTAACTACTCACTAATTATATTATTCTTCAACTTAAATTTACAAAAACAAGAAATGAGAAAGATTAGCTATTTCTTATGAGGAGACGAACTCTCATTTTGAACTATTAATTTATCAATTTGAATTATTTTTATTTTAATTTTTAGCTAAAAAATGCTGTAAACATGTTGTACATGGATGTTATCCACAGCAGAAAAAGCTCAAGTGCACAGGCCTCAGCTTAAGCATAGCATGAGAAATTTTGGGGATCTTTAAGATTTTCCGAAAAAATCCAATCAGTTCTCTGCAACCAATTTCTCTATCAAAAATTGCCGACCCTACTTTACTTTTGGTCCCCTTAAAATTAAAATACCAGAATGCTTTAGCATGGGTACCATACCATATTGCCAAACTTTTATGACTTGTTACTTAGATTATGTACAAAAAACTGACAAATGAAACCAACAGTAAAATTAGTGCGAGATTCCTACCTTTCACACTTCATTCCTGAAATATTCATTGATGCTCGAACAAACTGTTGTGTATAGGAAAACAGAATATGAGGTTGGAATGTACCACAACAAAGCTGCAATACTCTACTTCACACAATAAGCATATGAACATATGCAGCAAGGTTTTAGGGACCCGGGATAACCAATGAAGGCTTCAAGTGAGCTATGTCTTGCCCCTGATTCTTGGAACTGCAGCCTGATTGTTGAAAGGACCCTGCACACTCCTTATGGGGATGTGTATCATGATCAATTTCCAATTTTCTAAATGAATTAAACTCATCTCAGGATGCTGATCGAAAGTCATCATTGCGCCAATCTTCTACAAGGCATAGTATTCGCAACTTTTCACACAATCCGTGTTGGAAATTTCGATGATTACCTGAATAAGTGAGGCCAGCACGGCAATATTTATGTTTCAGCACTTGCTGAAAACAATGAAAACTTGTCAGTCTTATCTCAGATTCAGCACGCCTATTTGTTTCATCATCCAAATCAGATTCTTTCTCTCCTCCACTCTTTACCTTATCTATCCCCAGCTTGGATTTCCTGGTGAAATCGCTACGCTGGCCTCACTTATTCTAGTAATAATCGGAAATTTCACCATGGATTGTGCACAACACTGCATAAATGGTGCCTTGTAAAGTTATTGCTATATGACTTTGGATTAGCAACCATATAAGAGTTAAATACATTAAAAAAATTGGAAATCAATCCTGGTACACATTTCTATAAGGAGTGTGGGGGGTCCTTATGTGTTTGTCGACCAGTTAAGACAAGTTCAGGGAGAATTTAGTCATGTGATTAGTCGGTTTGGTGAGTCATCCCCTTTGTCATGCCAATGGAGGATGTAATTATCGAGAAGCTAAAGGCATCTCCTGAGCTGCTGACACATGGTAGTCAAATTCTAGATGAATCCATCCTTTATTGGGACTGCAGCGGGGCGACTTTTGAAATGATATCGACTCTATGTCCCCGCTTTGTCATGTCGCACTATCGACTGAGTGGCTCTCAGTCGATGGCGCGACACGACAAAGCGGCGACAAAGAGTCGATATCATTTCAATAATCGCCCCCCAGAAAGGATAAAGCACAAAACCGACCAATCACTTGACTACATACTCTTCAACCTTGTCTTACCCATGGGACAAACACAAAATTTTAACAATCAGACTAGATGTGCTGATTAATTTTGATTCCTTATACTGGAGGTGATGGAGCGCATCTTTCATCAGTAACTCCCGGTAGAAAACCTAACCTTGCTTTTCAACAACAAAGCATCTTCTCATTGAAGTTCTTTAGTTGATATCATCAGAAAGTGGGTCTTGCCGACAAACTAATCAGTGAGTGTTTCACAGAGGAGTAAAAATTTCATCCTCAGATAGTTCATATCAGTAAACCAACTGATCAATGGAAGATACACCTCCCTTAAAACACTCGGACGTAGCAGTCGCTCACAGTTAACAAATGGACTGAAGATCGCATCGACGGTAGTGCAAGCTATCTGCATTACTTGAAAGATAAAAGGAAACGCTGGCGCATTTTTAACGATGTGCCAAAATTTCCAGGAATCAAAGAGTCGTCGAATTGAAATACTACAGCATCCCGGCTTCGGCGAACGGCAACAAAGTGGCGCGACGCCGTTTCGCGTATCCACCGCCACGGACATTATACCGAGTAGATTAGTATGAAATTGCGAAATAAATATGTTCATAAGACGGTAAAACTTACCAAGCTTGTTTCATCTTGAGGCTTGGGGCGCAAATTCAATAAACTTAATAAAAATACTTCATCCCAGAACACTCGGTGCAAAAGCAGTTACAAGTTTCAATGAACAGTACTGCCGTCATGGAGAGCGTCAAAATTTGCATCGCGCGGCTTGCATCGCCCAATAGAGTATTTACCATTTCCACTCATCCACGACAAATTTTGCCTTTGAAACATAGAACTATCTCAGTTTTTAAATTTTATTTGAAGAGGAAGGTAATTGATGAAAACTAGGGGTTTTAATAATCAACTTTGATGAACTAATCAGGTGGGAAAAGGATATTAGTGAGTTGGCAGATGGTAATGGCGGTTCTTGGATCGATCATTCAAAATATCGATTCTCCGACCAAGAAATCGATAGGATTGAATCGATTCTTTCACGTTGATCATTCGCGTTCAAGGTAGATTTACACAGGTATGGAAAAGTTGAAAAGGTCCGCGGTGTTAGTGGCGAGCCCGAATCCGGGTGCCCCGAAAAAACACCGGAGTGCTTTCCGACCATGTGCCCTGCGGCCCGATTATTGAAACTATGTCAGCCCGACACAACACGACATAGCCCTATCTCACCCATGCAATATATCGCAATTCGATGTCTTATCGGCCTGGTTTAAATTTCAATAATCGGCCCGCTGGAAAGGACGGCCGTAAACGGGGACGAAGGCTCAACTTGGATTGGTCCATACACTGTATTGTCCGTTCTCTCTCTCGCACTCATTCTTAAGATGCGGCACGTCAAAGGAGCACACTCGGCTTTGACAGGCCGCCGATTTATCGTCTATCTCACTCCCACTCATTGATCAGAAGCGGCAACCCGCGGCTTGTCAAAGGGACACACACACACTCGCAAAAATACAGGCTGGGCCTCGTAATTTGGTGCGCGGTGGTAGTGGCGAGCCCGAATCCGGGTGCCCCAAAAAACACCGGAGTGCTCTCCGACCATGAGCCCTGGAAAGAACGGCCGTAAACGGGGAGTAAGGCTCAACTTGGATTGGTCCTGACGCTGTTTTGTCCGTTCTCTCTCTCACACTCATTCCTAAGATGCGGCACGTCAAAGGAGCACACTCGGCTTTGACAAGCCGCCGTTTTATCGTCTATCTTTCTCCCACTCATTGATCAGAAGCGGCAACCCGCGGCTCTTCAAAGGGACACACACACACTCGCAAAATTACAGGGTGGGCCTCGTAATTTGGTGCGCGGTGGTAGTGGTGGGCCCGAATCCGGGTGCCCCGAAAAAACACCGGAGTGCTTTCCGACCGTGAGCCCTGGAAAGAACGGCCGTAAACGGGGACTAAGGCTCAACTTGGATTGGTCCATACGCTGTTTTGTCCTTTCTCTCTCTCGCACTCATTGCTCAGATGCGGCACGTCAAAGGAGCACACTCGGCTTTGACAAGCCGCCGTTTTATCGTCTATCTCTCTCCCACTCATTGATCAGATGCGGCAACCCGCGGCTCGTCAAAGGGACACACACACACTCGCAAAAATACAGGCTGGGCCTCGTAATTTGGTCCGCGGTGGTAGTGGCGAGCCCGAATCCGGGTGCCCCGAAAAAGCACCGGAGTGCTTTCCGACCATGAGCCCTGGAAAGAACGGCCGTAAACGGGGACTAAGGCTCAACTTGGATTGGTCCATACGCTGTTTTGTCCTTTCTCTCTCTCGCACTCATTGCTCAGATGCGGCACGTCAAAGGAGCACACTCGGCTTTGACAAGCCGCCGTTTTATCGTCTATCTCTCTCCCACTCATTGATCAGATGCGGCAACCCGCGGCTCGTCAAAGGGACACACACACACTCGCAAAAATACAGGCTGGGCCTCGTAATTTGGTCCGCGGTGGTAGTGGCGAGCCCGAATCCGGGTGCCCCGAAAAAACACCGGAGTGCTTTCCGACCATGAGCCCTGGAAAGAACGGCCGTAAACGGGGACTAAGGCTCAACTTGGATTGGTCCATACGCTGTTTTGTCCTTTCTCTCTCTCGCACTCATTGCTCAGATGCGGCACGTCAAAGGAGCACACTCGGCTTTGACAAGCCGCCGTTTTATCGTCTATCTCTCTCCCACTCATTGATCAGATGCGGCAACCCGCGGCTCGTCAAAGGGACACACACACACTCGCAAAAATACAGGCTGGGCCTCGTAATTTGGTCCGCGGTGGTAGTGGCGAGCCCGAATCCGGGTGCCCCGAAAAAACACCGGAGTGCTTTCCGACCATGAGCCCTGGAAAGAACGGCCGTAAACGGGGACTAAGGCTCAACTTGGATTGGTCCATACGCTGTTTTGTCCTTTCTCTCTCTCGCACTCATTGCTCAGATGCGGCACGTCAAAGGAGCACACTCGGCTTTGACAAGCCGCCGTTTTATCGTCTATCTCTCTCCCACTCATTGATCAGATGCGGCAACCCGCGGCTCGTCAAAGGGACACACACACACTCGCAAAAATACAGGCTGGGCCTCGTAATTTGGTCCGCGGTGGTAGTGGCGAGCCCGAATCCGGGTGCCCCGAAAAAACACCGGAGTGCTTTCCGACCATGAGCCCTGGAAAGAACGGCCGTAAACGGGGACTAAGGCTCAACTTGGATTGGTCCATACGCTGTTTTGTCCTTTCTCTCTCTCGCACTCATTGCTCAGATGCGGCACGTCAAAGGAGCACACTCGGCTTTGACAAGCCGCCGTTTTATCGTCTATCTCTCTCCCACTCATTGATCAGATGCGGCAACCCGCGGCTCGTCAAAGGGACACACACACACTCGCAAAAATACAGGCTGGGCCTCGTAATTTGGTCCGCGGTGGTAGTGGCGAGCCCGAATCCGGGTGCCCCGAAAAAACACCGGAGTGCTTTCCGACCATGAGCCCTGGAAAGAACGGCCGTAAACGGGGACTAAGGCTCAACTTGGATTGGTCCATACGCTGTTTTGTCCTTTCTCTCTCTCGCACTCATTGCTCAGATGCGGCACGTCAAAGGAGCACACTCGGCTTTGACAAGCCGCCGTTTTATCGTCTATCTCTCTCCCACTCATTGATCAGATGCGGTACCCCGCGGCTCGTCAAAGGGACACACACACACTCGCAAAAACAGGCTGGGCCTCGTCATTTGGTGCGCGGTGGTAGTGGCGAGCCCGAATCCGGGTGCCCCGATAAAACACCGGAGTGCTTTCCGACCATTAGCCCTGGAAAGAACGGCCGTAAACGGGGACTAAGGCTCAACTTGGATTGGTCCTGACGCTGTTTTGTCCGTTCTCTCTCTCGCACTTATTGCTCAGATACGGCACGTCAAAGGAGCACACTCGGCTTTGACTAGCCGCCGTTTTATCGTCTTTCTCTCTCCCACTCATTGATCAGATGCGGCAACCCTGGGCTCATCAAAGGGACACACACACACTCGCAAAATTACATGGTGGGCCTCGTAATTTGGTGCGGGGTGGTAGTGGCGAGCCCGAATTCGGGTGCCCCGAAAAAACACCGGAGTGCTTTCCGACCATGAGCCCTGGAAAGATCGGCCGTAAACGGGGACTAAGGCTCAACTTGGATTGGTCCATACGCTGTTTTGTCCGTTCTCTCTCTCGCACTCATTGCTCAGACGCGGCACGTCAAAGCAGCACACTCGGCTTTGACAAGCCGCCGTTTTATCGTCTATCTCTCTCCCACTCATTGATCAGATGCGGCAACCCGCGACTCGTCAAAGGGACACACACACACTCGCAAAAATACAGGCTTGGCCTAGTAATTTGGTGCGCGGTGGTAGTGGCGAGCCCGAATCCGGGTGCCCCGAAAAAACACCGGAGTGCTTTCCGTCCATGAGCCCTGGAAAGAACGGCCGTAAACGGGGACTAAGGCTTAACTTGGATTGGTCCATACGCTGTTTTGTCCGTTCTCTCTCTCGCACTCATTGCTCAGACGCGGCACGTCAAAGCAGCACACTCGGCTTTGACAAGCCGCCGTTTTATCGTCTATCTCTCTCCCACTCATTGATCAGATGCGGCAACCCGCGACTCGTCAAAGGGACACACACAAACTCGCAAAAATACAGGCTAGGCCTCGTAATTTGGTGCGCGGTGGTAGTGGCGAGCCCGAATCCGGGTGCCCCGAAAAAACACCGGAGTGCTTTCCGACCATGAGCCCTGGAAAGAACGGCCGTAAACGGGGACTAAGGCTCAACTTGGATTGGTCCATACGCTCTTTTGTCCGTTCTCTCTCTCGCACTCATTGCTCAGATGCGGCAACCCACGGCTCGTCAAAGGGACACACACACACTCGCAAAATTACAGGCTAGGTCTCGTAATTTGGTCCGCGGTGGTAGTTGCGAGCCCGAATCCGGGTGCCCCGAAAAATCACCGGAGTGCTTTCCGACCATTAGCCCTGGAAAGAACGGCCGTAGACGGGGACTAAGGCTCAACTTGGATCGGTCCATACGCTCTTTTGTCCGTTCTCTCTCTCGCACTCATTGCTCAGATGCGGCACGTCAAAGGAGCACACTCGGCTTTGACAAGCCGCCGTTTTATCGTCTATCTCTCTCCCACTCATTGGTCAGATGCGGCAACCCGCGGCTCGTCAAAGGGACACACACACTCGCAAACACGAAAACATTGGTAAATCGCCTTTCACCTTTATCACAGGAGGATGTAAGACGTGCATAACCTCAATCTTGCTTGCCGATAACAGCCATCTTGTTTGTTGATTTACGGCCATAAGAGCATCGTGTCAGCCTATTCGCTCGCGACCAATGAAAAACCGGAACAGAAATGGCCATACTCTGTCTATAACATTGACGTATAATACAGGGTTATCCAGAAGTCTGGGACCCCCCTTATAACTTTTGAACAAAAAATGCTAGAGATTTGAAATTCGGGGAATGTTCCTAGGTCAAAGGGAACTACTTTTTGGCGTACCCAAAATTTTGGGGGGCGCCCCCCCTGCATGAGGGGGGGCGGACCCTAACTTTTTTTTCTCAAATGGGAACCCCTATCTTGTGATACATCATTCGAAAGGGCTAGAAAAAAAAAAATTTTGGCGCAAACCGATTGTCGATACCTCAATTTTTAACAAAATGGCGGCCAAAAAATGGCGGCTCATTCAAAAGTCTGGGCCTCCGCTCATAACTCATGAACAAAAAATGCTAGGGATTCGAAATTTGGGGAATATTCCTAGGTGAAAGGAAACTACTTTTTGGCGCATCCAAAATTTTGGGGGGCGGCCCCCCTGAGGGGGGGCGAACCCTAACCCTTTTTTTTCAAATAGGAACCCCTATCTTGTGAAACATCATTCGAAAGGGCTTGAAAAAAGAAAACTTTTGGCGCAAACCGATTGTCGATACCTCAATTTTTAACAAAATGGCGGCCAAAAAATGGCGGAAATGCGTTTTTTGGTTATTTACCGTCGGATTCGCTTGAAACTTGGTTTCCACAGGTTTTCGATCACGAAAAAAACAAATACGATATTGGATTTGCAAAATACCCGAGCTTTTCCAAGATGGCGGCCGAAAAATGGCGGGGAAATAAGTTTAAATCGGAATGTGTCAGATTTCCTGTGCGGTGCTCTCAGCCAGTTGAAAATCGTGTTTCCTGATTTGTCATTTCAACTACCCAGGACTCACCCCGTGGTTTGGTTGTTTTTTTCGTGCTCGAAAACCTGTGGAAACCAAGTTTCAAGCGAATCCGACGGTAAATAACCAAAAAACGCATTTCCGCCATTTTTTGGCCGCCATTTTGTTAAAAATTGAGGTATCGACAATCGGTTTGCGCCAAAAGTTTTCTTTTTTCAAGCCCTTTCGAATGATGTATCACAAAACAGGGGTTCCTATTTGAAAAAAAAGGGTTAGGGTTCGCCCCCCCCCTCAGGGGGGCCGCCCCCCAAAATTTTGGGTGCGCCAAAAAGTAGTTTCCTTTCACCTAGGAATATTCCCCAAATTTCGAATCCCTAGCATTTTTTGTTCATGAGTTATGAGCGGAGGCCCAGACTTTTGAATGAGCCGCCATTTTTTGGCCGCCATTTTGTTAAAAATTGAGGTATCGACAATCGGTTTGCGCCAAAATTTTTCTTTTTTCTAGCCCTTTCGAATGATGTATCACAAGATAGGGGTTCCCATTTGAAAAAAAAAAAGTTAGGGTCCGCCCCCCCTCAGGGGGGGGCGCCCCCCAAAATTTTGGGTACGCCAAAAAGTAGTTCCCTTTGACCTAGGAACATTCCCCGAATTTCAAATCTCTAGCATTTTTTGTTCAAAAGTTATAAGGGGGGTCCCGGACTTCTGGATAACCCTGTACAATCTAGACCGCGCATAAGGAAATTTCGGCATGACTAGACTAGATTCCCTTCAGGCGAGACGATAAGCAACCCAGCAACACTCAGTAAGTGTACCGACCGAGAGAATGGAAAGGCCAGTCTAGTGTAAATCTACCTTGATTCGCGTTCCTAGTTGATTTCTATGAAGGGCCGTTTGTAACTAAAGATAAGAATGTTGGCAATATATAAGAAATGGTGTTTTATATGAAATATTCATGATATATGTGAAATTTTAAAATATACATACGAAATTGTCGCAATATACAAGAAATGTGTCAATATTTAGGAAATTGACTCCAGAATATGTGGCGAAAATCGTGCAATATATAAGAAATCGAATTCACAATATATATGGCGAAATTCGTGCGATATACAGGGTTATCCATAAGTCCTTTCCATCCCCTCTAAATTTTTACCTAATTGAGGCAAAGATTTGAAACTTTAGGTTAAAGGGAGCTACTTTCTGGCCCCCTATTTGTAAGAGTGGTAGTTAGCCCCTAGGACTGGTTTAGTACTGAATTTGAGCAAAATCGGCTGAGCCGTTTAAAAATCGCAAGCTCAGAAAGTTTTAGGCGGGGGGGTGCGCGGCATGAGGGGAGTCGGCCGGAGCGGGGCCGCACAGTGGGTCAGGGGGAGAAGTTTTTTGACAATCTGTTCGTCGCACAGTGGGTCAGGGGAAGAAAGTTTTTTGACAATCTGTTCGTCGTACAGTGGGTCAGGGGAAGAAAGTTTTTTGACAATCTGTTCGTCGCACAATGGGTCAGGAGGAAAATGTTTTAGGACATTCTTTTCGTCGCTCAGGGGAAGGAAGATTCTGGACAAATTGTTCGTCGCACAGTGGGTCACGGTAAGACATCAAATCCCAATTCGGGAAATACAATTTCCTTCCCGCGGTGGATGCACGGGTCACTGGAAGAAAAGGAGAAACGACTGAAAAGACGCGCGCGTCCCGGGGGGATGGGGGGGGGGC